ATTCTTTTTATTTTATAAACAAAAATAAACCCATACCCCTACCATCATCTTCAAAATAACTCAACAATGAATGATTTATTCATTTAATATGCATTCTAACTTTTATTCTTTGAATTAAAAAAAAAATACATATAATCTTTTATAATATATTTTATGTTTCTTTCAGTCTAGTTATAATTAGTTACTGTTAACAGGAATATTCTCTCCTACGATATACTAATCAATTATATTTTCTCTCGTACCATATCCTAATCAATTCTTTTCATCACTTATAAATTATTTAATTTTCATATTTTTAATCACGTGAAACTTCAATGGTTAGAAAACTACAGCATTTTTTTTTTTTTCTCAATGTTGAATGATTTATTGCAAATATCTCAGACATGAATGATTGGTTGGTGACACACGTGGTAATTGTAATTGGCATTTCGTAAGGAAAAATGTTTCCAGTATTATAATGTTTTAAAGGTAATTTTACAAATCAATAGATGTTTTTTTTTTTTTTCTTTACAGAAGCAATGTATGAAGACATTATTTGTGTTTTCATTCATTGTCAACTTTGGAGCTTCTATATTTTATATCTCCTTGCATTTCTTGCACGTGACTAATTACGTAGCTTGATTAATTATGAGTAGGTTTTATAAAATCATAATACATTAGATGTTATATTTTAATTCTTGTTTTCTGAAATTAAATATATTACCCATACTTATATAAACAGGTTTTATAAATTTAATTATATGTATTTGATTTATAAATCATATTAAAAATAGATAAAGGAAAAATATTTAACTTTACTAAAATGACAAAACATATTAATCTAATCTGTTTTTAGTGTTAGGTTAAAACAAGTGGGTCCACTTTATATATATATATATATATATATATATATATATATATATATATATATATATGCATCTTTAAATAAAAATATACTTGAATATAAAAAATACAATTTGTACTAATTACAAAAACAATGTGAAACCATCCTATAAAAAAAAATTGAAAAACCATAGTGTATAATTCAATCAAATGTTTTGAAAATTGAATCTAATAACGCTTTGAACTCCTTTAAATATTTAAAAAAAATTACTATTTGTACTCGTTAATAACTTATTTATAAACTTTAATAATTTATTGAAATGCATTATATTATTACTTTTCTTTTACCGATTATTGATACATGGTATCAATTACTTTAATAATTTATTTGTATATATTATTATTACTTTAATAATTATTTGTTTGAATTACTTGGATCTTTATTATAGTTTCCATGGTGATAAAGAAAACCTACTACATTGTCTCAAGTTTTCTTCTTCCTATTTAAGAATTTGAGCTGAAATATTAATATACTAAATTCAAAGTTGAAATATTTGAATAATGTTTGTGCTTCATATTTTAAATTTGGCAAGTAATGAAATGATATTAGTTTAGAGTTAAAAAGTTTAACATACTAATCAGATTTAATAAAATAATAATTTTATAATATAATAAATTCATTAATAATAATAAATTATAATCAATATTATAAATATAAGATATATTAAAAAGTGTAAAATAAATAATAATTAAAACAAAATAAAAATATAATAAAATAATTATTATTTAAAAATAATATAAAATAAAAAATTAAAATATATTATATTTTTTAAAAAAAGTTAATATTTAAAAAATTATTTTTAATTTTGTTATTAAAACTAATTCAATCCAAAATTCAGAGTCAATTTTTTCGACATTATTAATTTTATATTAATTTAATTATTTATTTAAAAATAATAAATTAATTTTTAAATTGATTTTAAATTAAACTGGTAAACAGGAGAATCGGATCAAATTTAAAAATAGTATCTTGATTTGAAATAAGCCACACTTAATCAAATTTAATTTATTTATCAATGAAAAATAATATTGAAAGCATATAAGTAGAAAAAAATTGAATTAATTATTTCAAGGGTACAATAAGTTATTTATTACGGTCAAACTCTTATTTGTTTAGGGAATAATATATTTTATTTATTTTATTCAATCACAAATTATTATTTTTTTGACGATGATTAAAAAATTCTATTTTTTTCTAACATATAAGATTTCTCACCTCTTATATATATTATTCTCCTATCCTGTATATTATAATTATTTTTTTATTATATGATTTGATATATTTTAAATGATATTTTCTATTAACGTGAAAAATATAAAAAGTCGTAAATTAATTTAAAATAGATAAAATTTTAAAATAATTTTTTTATGAATTTGTGATGTTAGAGTATATTTTATAATAAGATTCTATTAATTTTATAATTTTAAAAAAATATTAGAATCATTCTATGTTATGTAGTAAGGTAGGCTAAAGATAAGATTTGTTTCAGAATAATTTGTTAAAAATAAAAAATGATTATTTTCAAAATAGTAAAACTATAAATTATATTGTATATGCTTTATTTAAATAAAATTAAGTATAAATTGTTTAATAACAATAATAAGTTAATAACAACATTATTATGACATAATAAAAACTATTAATTATATTTTTTTTGAATGTATAAAACAACTTATATTAGAGATTCTTATTATCTTTCAATTAAATATAATAATAAATGAATTAAATATTACATAAATCAATTGTTTTCTCTTCCATCTAAATATTTAGTTATTTTCTCTTCCATCTAAATACTTAGTTTTGCAAGAACTGTAACAAAATTATTCACCAATATATAATCCTGAGATATTAAAAATGGGTGCTCAAAATATACATTCCCAGCAAATGTACATCTTGATCAAATTCATTATTTATGTTGTGCACAAGGTGAATTTACTGTAAATATTTGTAAGTGAATAATATTGTTAATTAGTTTAAATTTTTCAGCACATCATTGTTCATTTATTAATATTTTGTAAAATATTTTTTACCACAAAATTGAAATGTTAAATTTAATATTAAAATAAATATAATTAATTCAAATGATAGGTTCAATATTTCACAATTTATTTAGTTTAGTATTTTGTTGTAAATTAATTTTAACTAATCAATTTAAGGATTTAATTTATATATATCACAACAATTATAGTTACCTAAAATAATATAATTCATATTTTTATTCATTCATAATTATAATTTATAAAAATGATTTCATATAATATTACTAAAATTATTTAAAATATTCTATTTTAAATAATATTATTATTATCATTAATATATTATTATAATTATAAAAATACTATATTCTGTTAAATAACTTACTTATCATATTACATAAAATAAAAATCATATAAGTTTTAATGGATTGTTTTGATTAAAATATACATTAATATTCAATATAATCACCTTCAATTGCTATTTATTATATATAATATTTTTTGGAAAAGTAAAAAATTCAATGACATTACACAAATTAAAATAAGGTACAATAAAAAGATTATCATTGTTATAAGATACAACAATAGACGTAGTAAATATCTTAAAAATTACACCAACATTAATTATTAAGTTGAGTTGGTAAACTTTTTATAATTAGACTATATAGGCACAAGTTCTAAGAATAAAATCAGTTGAATTGTTTTAATTTATTGGTCAGCGGAAGTTAAAACGACAATTTAGTTATTATTATAGATGAGTTATTACGTTGTGATTAAGTTGATAGTGAGATTTTATTTCCTTAAAAAAACTATTAACAGAATTTCTTTTTTCATATACAAACAGATAGAATTTTATGTTAAAAAAAATTAAAAATAAAAGAACAGATAGAGTTATTTGCTAAACTAAGAGATGCAAACAAAATTGTGTTATTATCTTAACTTTTTTTTTTTTTTTTCAGGATAAAAAAAAAAGTTAGGAGTAGGTGCAATACATCTTAATCTTTGCATAACCATCTTAAATGATTATCATAGCTAAAGTTAAAAGTTTATGAGTTATTAAATGCAGATTAAGCTTTATAATTCGATGTGATATATATAACAATTCACTACAGTGTCTGCTTTTTCAATCGTTCCAAACGCTTCAGCGAAGAGAGAGGTTCTGCTGTGCAAGAGTTACTTCCAGCGGAAGGTTCTGTGTGGAATCTATAAAAACAAATATGGGGAAAAGAGAAGAATAAATGCAAATAGAGGGGGGAAGAGAGAGAAACTGTTTAATTTTAAATTAGTTTATGTAGTGATTGATTTCTAAGAAATCATCAAAAGGGGTTTCGTGAAAACCTTGTTCTTCTGCTTAGTTGAGATTCTGGAAAATCAAAATATCCACGTAATCTTCTCTAACGATATTCTCCTTCATCACTCCAAGATTTTCGCCTTACCCTTTTCTTTCAACAACAAAATTATACTCCTCAATTTTGTTATATATGTGCTATCTCGTGTTGGATTCTCACTTTCCTTCACGGAACGGATTTCGGGTGGGGGCGTAATTCGGTTATTTTTTCCTGCGCCCTTGTTTTTGGGGTTTGATAACATAGTTTCTTTTGGGGCATTTTCTTCATTGTCGCCTTTTCATAGCGATAAGGGGTGTTTTAGTGGTGATTGATTGTTGCTCACGTGTGTATGTTTTCGGAATTGGGGTGGTCTAACTAGGGTTCTCGAGGGGATCCGAGGTTAAAGTTCGTGTCTTTCCCCTCAAGATCTTCTTTGGGTGTGTGCAAAGTTGTGCTTTTGTTGAAGTGTTAACTGCTGAATTGATTGATTTGAAATTTTAGCATACAATTTTTTTTGTTTTCTTCAGCAGTTGTTTGGACTTTTTTCCCCGGATTCAGTGACCTAAGAATTTGTTAGGTTCTTCATCCAGAATCTTGTCCGTGTTCCTTTTCTATAATGTTTCTTGGGTGATGTAAAAGATTGTGTGGTCAAAAAAGGTTATGCTGGATTTGCTTTGGTGTTGTTTTGTGTTTCAGCTATTTGGTGGGGGTTTGATTTGAACCCTTTGTTTGGTTTTGATTGGTTTCATTATCTGGTGGAAGAAGTGCTTGCGATTCATTCTTGATTCATTCTTGAGTCGATTTGTGGATAAGATGAGTGGCAGCGGGTCAGGAAGTTTACTCCATCAGGGCCAGTTGCTTGTTCATATTGCCGAGAATGGGCAATCTTTTGAGTTGGACTGCGATGAAAACACACTTGTTGAGAGAGTTATGAGGTCTATTGAAGCTGTGACTGGGATTAATGTTAGTGATCAGCTTGTTCTTTGTATGGATATGAAGTTGGAGCCTCAACGGCCACTGTCCGTGTACAAGCTTCCATCTGATGATAAGGAGGTGTTCATATTCAATAAAGCAAGGCTTCAAAACAACTCGCCGGCTCCACCGCCAGAGCAAGTTGATATTCCCAGTGATTTGGAGCCTCCATCTCCGGCATCCACCCATGATCCACACCCTCTTGATGATGCTTCAGATCCTGCTCTGAAGGCTTTACCTTCTTATGAGCGGCAATTCAGGTACCATTATCATCGGGGCCATGCTATTTATAGCAGTACTGTGATGAAATATGAGCATTGTCAGAGGCTTTTGAGAGCACACATAGTCCAAGAAAGAGCAGTGGAGGTTGCAAGGAGTAACCTGGATCAGTATTTTCGAATGATTAACCAAAGCTATGCGGACTTCGTGAAGCGATATATGCAGCAATACAGGATGCATTCTGATCTTTTGGTGAATTTTGGGAAGAATGTTGAGAAACTAAGATCCATCAAACTTCACCCTGCTTTGCAAACTGCTAATCGCAAATGCTTACTGGATTTGGTCAAGGAAGAAAACTTGAGGAAGTCAGTGGAGAATTGCACCAGCTCCCACAAGCAGTTTGAGAATAAAGTGTCTCAATTTAAACAGAGTTTTGGGGATGTGAAGCGTCGGGCTGAGGAATTGTTGTCCACCAGGGCTTTCTTGACCATCAAGAATTTAGAACAACCAATTAAAGAACACCAGAGATATATAAATGAACAAAAGAGTATCATGCAATCTCTGAGGTTAGTTTTTTAACATTCGTCATCTATTTTTTTATGTGCTCTTTTTTGTTTGACCTAGCATCTAAGTTTAATGTAGTTCTAGCTTGTTACTTCTCTCATGACTTCAATATTCAGAATGTGGTTCTCAATTAGCAGTTAGCAGGCCTGAAATAGTTATGCACCATTTTTGCAATGTTCTTGATCCATTCCATGTTGATTATGTAACTTGTACATATGAGTTTTCTTTTCTAGTTTTTAGTAGTTCTTATAATTCAGTGTAGGAGAATCAAGTGGAATAATACTTGATTCCAGATATCACTTATTGATTATTGTAATTTGTAATTAAATTTATATTTCTTTTGTCTTCTAAGATATTTCATCACATCAAATGTTATCAGCACATCTTATCAGTTATATTTTTATGGGATTTCTGCAGCAAGGATGTTAACACTGTAAAGAAACTGGTAGATGATTGCCTATCCTCTCAATTATCTTCCTCACTTCGTCCTCATGATGCAGTTTCGGCCTTGGGTCCTATGTATGATGTTCATGATAAAAATCATCTGCCCAAAATGCAGGCTTGTGATCGTGCTATTTCAAAGCTACTCGAGTTTTGCAAGGAAAACAAGAATGAAATGAATACCTTTGTGCACAGTTACATGCAAAACATAACTTATGTTTCTTATCTCATCAAAGATCAGAAGCTACAGTTACCTGTTTTTAAAGAGGCAATGGCTCGACAGGATGGCTTGTTTGTGGATTTAAAGTTGTTCCATGGTATTGGTGCAGCATACAGAGCTTGCCTTGCAGAAGTAGTGAGGCGAAAGGCTTCTATGAAGCTGTACATGGGCATGGCTGGGCAAATGGCTGAAAGGCTAGCTGTAAAACGCGAGGCGGAAATCAAGAGACGAGATGAGTTTTTTAGAGATCATAGTTCATGCATCCCTAAAGAAGTATTAGCATCTATGGGATTGTATGACAGTCCGAACCAATGTGATGTCAACATAGCTCCATTTGATGGTGATTTGCTTAATATTGACATATCAGATGTGGATCGTTATGCTCCTGAATATCTAACAGGAGTAACATCCAAGCTGGAGAAGCAAGGAAGCTTTAAAGGTTCATCTGCTGTGAGTAGTGAGAGCTCTCACTTAGCCGAGGCTGTAGATATTGCTGCGGACTCGATTGAGAGATATGATTCTGAAGGCTTGCCAGATGGCAGTGAGTTGATTGAAATTGCTGGAACCTGCAAGATGGAAGTTGAGAATGCAAAACTGAAAGCTGAGCTTGCTAGTAGAATAGCTTTAATGTGTTCGCCCTGTCCCGAGGTAGAGTATGAGTCATTAGACGATGAACAGGTGAATAATATACTAAAGAATTCTAGAGAGAAGACAGAAGAAGCCATGCATTTGAAAGATGAATATATTAAACATATTCAATCCATGCTTAAGATGAAGCAGATGCAATGTATGTCATATGAGAAACGAATTCAAGAATTGGAACAGAAATTGTCTGATCAGTATATGCTGGGGCAGAAACTGTCCAATGTAAATGATGTAGCTGACTTTCCCCTTGTGGATGGGAAGACAATGAAGTCAGAATCTATCAGTGGTGAAGCCCACATGCCTTGCGTATCTACTTCTGAGCCCATGGATGAGGTTTCATGCATCTCAAGTTCCTTGGATGCAAAACTTGGTTTGTTCACAGAACATACTGGTAAAGTGTTATATGGGGCAGACGAAAACATGATGGATTCCTCTGGAGTTCAAAACCCACAGTTGGACTCATCTATGATGGAGCCTCATCGTGAAGAAGCACAAATTGCTGATAAAGATAAAAAGGACAAGATGATTGGACAATTAGGCATGTCATTAACAAACAGTTCTACTGGTGAGAACATGCCTGTGTCACATGATGTTGTACCTTGTGACTCCACAGTTTCTGAAGACTTGGAATCCAAAGTACATGATGATAAGGTGTTGGAACTACGAAGTGCACTTGTAGATAAGTCAAATCAATTGAATGAAACTGAAACCAAGCTTAAAAATGTCATGGAGGAGGTTGTTGTGCTCAAAAGGGAGCTGGAAGCAAGTAAAAAACTACTTGATGAATCTCAGGTGACTGTAGAGTTTAAATATACCCATCATTTTAGGTTGCAATTTAATTTTATAAAAATATTCGTTTGTGTAATTCTCCTAAACTATTTATTGATAGTCTCTGTTTATTGGGTTCTCTAACTTGACTATTTTACTGTCATTTTCCAATCTCCTATCTCTGTCCCTTTTATCTTCACCCCATTCATAATTTACAGAAACATGCATTCTAGTGGTAATTCTTCTGAAGAGTTTTCAAATTATTCTGTAAAAAAACAAATAAAAAAATTTGTGATTTCTATCATCTTTCTATTGCCTCTTCCTACATTCTTGTTGTATTTTCATTTCTATAGGTCAATTGAAATGATAATAGATGTATTACTAATAGCACATTTTCCAAGCAATTTGTGTATTAATTGTTCTATAAAAACATGCTAAGCAGAGTTTTTAGTTGACTTTTGACAGTTGGCAAGTGTAATGGTAAGCCAGGCTCATAAGGGCATAGTCTTCTGTAGATACGTGTTGCAAATCTGACTTGAGTAGGATTAGAAGGGTGTGGGATGAATGAACTGTACATATTGAATATTTTTTGCCACATTAGCTAAGCTTCATGAATTTCATACACATTGTTGGTTCAGTATTGTGTTTGCGTTTTATATTCTAATAATGTTATTTTCCTCTTTCACTTCAGATGAATTGTGCTCACTTGGAAAATTGTTTGCATGAAGCAAGAGAGGAAGCTCAGACACAAAAAAGTTCTGCTGACAGGAGAGCCTCAGAGTATAGTTCACTACGAGCATCTGTTATTAAAACACGGAGCTTTTTTGAAAGACTCAAGACCTGTGTTTATTCTCCTGGTGGTGTGACTGGTTTCGCAGATTCCCTCCGAATATTGGCGCAGTCTTTAGCCAAGTAATTTACTTATACTATGCTCATTCCCATTGAGAAAAGAAAAGAAAAGAAGTTTTATGGTCATAGACTGGTAGTAATGAAAATAACTTCCTCACTCAATAAAACTTGAAATAAGGCACACATTTTAGTATTCCCTCCTTATCTTTTTAAGTGTCAGATTTTTTTAGAATTTTGCTTCTATTTAGTAAAATTCAAGATCACATTAATTACACTTTTATCAATTATGTCCTTATATGTTTTTAATTTTTAAATAATTTTCACATGCATTTATTGTGTGCGATGGATAGAGAAAGATGTAAAATAGGAAACTGTAGAATTATTTTATTAGAATCAAGAAAATTTCTTATATTTCTGGGTTCATACAAAACACCTTAAAAGAGATAAAATGGAACGGAAGGAGTAATAGGGATTTTCTTTCCTGAAGTTTGATGGTGATGAGGTCATCTATAATAAATGAATTCATTATGCAATCACTTTGTTTGGTTGGGATTTCAGAGTTTCTACAGTTGAATAAATAGTTTTTGCTCCTTTTGTTCTCTTGCTTGGAGGGGAATCTAATGTCAATAATCCCCCAAATCTCCTTGCTGTTTTGCATGAAATGGAGAAGATTCCAGGCCTTTGTTTTATATTTATTCTTAATGAATTGCCGCTAGAAAGATGATTGGAATACTTTTCTCTCTTTCCAGTTCTGCTAATGACAGAGATGATGATGATATTACTGAGTTCCGAAAATGTATTCGAGTTCTGGCCGATAAAGTTGGTTTCTTATCTAGGCACCGGGAAGAGCTGCATGAGAAGTACTCAAGAATGGAAGCTGCTAATGAACAGCTTCGGAAAGAATTGGAGGAGAAAACAGACCAGGTCAAAACTTATTACAATAAGCACCAACTTGAGAAGCAGGTATTTCATTGTCCTTATGTTTATTATTATAGTTATTAGCTTCTTTTGTAACGGGACAATAAAATGTGTCATCTTCTCCAAGAGTTAGTTTTATCTACAGGCCTAATACCTAATGATCCCTTAAATGCATGGATGGGTTTTTACTATATCTTCCTACCCATTTCAGAATTATGGATTGATTTATATTGTGCATGTGATTTTTCTACAGGCAAATAAAGAGAAGATTTGTTTTGGTTGCCTGGAAGTTCATGAGATAGCTGCCTTTGTGCTCACTTCAGCTGGGTATTATGAGGCAATTACCAGGAACTGCTCTAACTATTACTTATCTGATGAATCTGTAGCTCTGTTTGCAGAACATCTTCCAACAAGACCTAACTACATTGTTGGACAAATTGTTCATATTGAACGCCAGATTGTGAAGGCGGCACCGCCTCGGCCTGAGCATGGTAGGGCTGATAAACTTACCCCTGACAAGGGGACTGACTGGTTGACCTTGAATTCAGGATCAACTCCAAACCCATACGGTCTCCCTGTTGGCTGTGAATATTTTCTAGTGACAGTAGCCATGTTACCTGATACCACCATTCATTCATCCTCTCCTTCCTGATCCTGCTTCATCCCTGGCAGATTAGACGTGATGGAAGAATTCAATTGTACATAAACTACATTCAAAGTCCAAATGCTCTTTATTATGGCTGGTTAAGCATTTGTACAGCTGATGAACCAATTTAGTTTCAATCCCCCTCTGTACATATATTTCTACCCTCTATGATATTTTGTATAAATTGTGAATATTATTTACAACTTGTTTATTTGGACATTTGGCATTTTTATCTTATGTTCTCACGTTTGATTTGGCAAGCAGTATTATCCAAATCTACTTTCTTCAAGTGGCTGTAATAGAACCGTACAAATTACAATGCTCTTTATGGTCTCTTGTCTGAAGTCAAAGGCCCCCCCACCTACCAACTTGTTGCCAAATAAATATCTGTGTGACAAACTTCCAATTTGATGACAGTCCTTCAAGATAATGTTAGGGACAATGATGCCCAACATCCTCTAGTCTCAGATATAATAACAAAATTTATTCACCATAAAAATAGTTAATTTAGTAGAACAAATTTAATTTAAAGCTTTTACATCTCCAGTAAAATTTGATATTAAAAATAAAAGCATCATTGAAAATAAAGTTTTAATTAAAAATTATCTTTATAATGGCATTACGTTTAAAAAAGAAATTATTTATATTTAAAATCAGAATGTTCTCATGTTTGAGACTGGAGAGAGTTAAGACATTGTTAGATAATTTAACCTAGAAAAGACAAGACATTTCATAGGGAGTGAAATTCATATTTCTTCTAGTACGATATGATTACCTTCTATGGATGTTAAAAAAGCAAGAAATATTGCAAATCCTGAATTCTTATACGCCTTCGGCTTATGCACTTCTACAATCTTTCCTTTCACCCTCATTTTTTTTTTAAGATAATATTACTCTCATGAATTCTATCCGAGTGTGAGATAGAATAAGTTTTATAATACTATTTTCAGAAGATTTATGAAATAAATAATTCAGAAATATTTTTCAGAATTGACCCCTTTAAAAATATTTCAAGAATAAACAATTTGACAGTAAATAATTCAAAAAATATAATTTATTTTAAGTTCTATCCAAATCATAAAAATGTTTTAGATCCCTCTGAAACGTGTGTAACACAGTCTCTTTCTCAATAGTTTCCAGTCAACTAGTGAGTTTTTCTCCGCTCGAGGTAATAATCAAGAGTCAACAATCATCTATGTAAATTACAATTTATAGCCAATTTTAGAGTCTGAAATGACATTGAAAAACTTCTGAAATGTTCCCGAATCTGACGCTTGAGACCAACGTACATTCAACGGGAAGATATCGCTTGATTATATAACATTCAAAAAAGCTTTTTAAAAAAAGAGAACATTTTTCATATCCTTCAATTTGTTAAAAAAATGCAATACAAGCCTTTCAAGGTATATATTCTGAATTGTTTAAAAAAACTGAAAAATATACAAATTTAATTTATCTTTACAATATTTTTGAATTATTGGCATCAGAATTTATATTCTATTTTATAATATTTTAGATGAATCATTCTTGAATTTTGGTAAAATTATTCTGGGACCTATTTTACTCCATAAGCCAAATAAAATTCACAGGAAATGCATATTTATTTTAATATAGAGTGCAGGAAGGAAAAGCTTTCTGTTTTGTTTGGTGATCATATATTACTCAGTAGTTGACGTTAATTTTGACGTAAAAGCAACGAAAAGTGGGTGATGCAGGTCCTGTTTTTGCTACTGCAGATCCAAACACGCTGGTAGACCCAGCTTTAGATGTCATTAGATTTTTTGTTTTCATTATTTACTCCTCTGATTGCTTGCCTGCTGCAAGGTCCCAAAGCTACCAAACACCAGCCTTAACGCCTATGATCAGTACGGATTCTTGGGAAACGCTGACAACAATATTTGAATAGTCAAGCCAAGGCAACATTTGGTTGCGGAACAAATACATTAAAGAAAAAAGTGGGCATCTTTGACTAAGCCACACGAGTATCCAAATTCACAAGCCCAATACTTATCAGGTTACACATTTTGTATATACATGCAGACAACTGTGGACATGTCCCCGAAGGAAAAATAAGGAAATAGTGCCATGGGCTCTCTCCACCAGGATTTTTCCTTAAAATGTTTCCAAATCCTAGTGGTTCTTATGGTAAAAATTAAACTTTTCATACCTATAACATATCCTCTATGCATCTTGATTTTGACCATTTTTTATGTTTCAAAAATGGGAATAACTATCGGGCTTAGCTGTCAGTATCCTCTTCTGATATGTTAAACAAGAAGTTTGACAGTGATGCAATTCGAGGAAGGTGAAGAAGAAACTCTACAAAAGAGTCTTTCCTGGACATGCCTGGTGTTTGCCGGCTCCCAGAAACATCTCTGGAGTCCTCTTCAGCAGGCTTGACATCCATTTTAATTTTGTTGTTCTGGATTGATTCAAGATCATGGCTAAGTAGAATATTTTTTCCATCATCAGGTCCATTAGCAACACTTTCCTTCCCATGCGAACTCTGCAACGCTGCAGGGTCCTTCTGTAGAAGACAGCAAAGAGAATTGACCCTTGTCATCAGTGATTTTTCATCAGAAGCCGTTATAACCTGATTGTCACTAAGAAGATGCTGTGCAATTTCCTCTAGCATTTCCTGGAAACCTGGTCTTCCACCACAAAAGGATGGATTCCCAGAAGTTATTTGTTCCGAAAGGCAATGTTCAATGTGATCAATAAAATCACTCATTGACATAGAAGGGCGTAGGCCAGGCAAATTAATCTGATCGCAATTTCTGGAGCCCTTGAAATCAGTTTCAGAATTTGTACTCTCTTCAATTGCACAACAATACATGAAATTTATGCAAAAAGACAAATAAAAAAAACAGTAAGTTATTGCAAAGCAACACTGCATGCTGGTAAGAGTCAGCATTGGATAGAAATGACCATTCAGAAGGTTTAATAAATTAGCCATAGAAATGACCAGTTAATTTAAGTTCATTACGAAGCCATGTACACTAAACATAGATAGAAATTGCTTAGACAGCTAAATATAAGTTATAGGTTAACTACGAGTATCTAAGATAAAAAAATATGAAACCCCCCTAGATATGGGAAACATCCAGTATAGAATATGGTTTGCTCGATCCAATGCCCAAAATTATTTGCCATTATAAATGCTATACACAATTTCTACCCTGATCCCAGTAATATATGCTACAATGATACTATTCAGCAAGCTAAGAATATTGAACTAATGATGAACTTGACATGTTAAAAGCATACTGATTGATTTTTTAGCCATCATTGATGTTTTACAACAACGCAATTATCTACTGTTTGAGATGAATTTCACAAACGGTCAATAAAGCAGAGCACTTTGCTACCACAAGTCATGTTCTTTACATTTGACTAATTGATGAAGCAACTAATCCATAATACAAGTTTCTAGAAGTTTATGTCCCACAGTTAGTTTCGTGGTTGTCAACAGAACACAATCAATTCCTATGACTTCATTTTCATAGTTACACTTCATCCTTCTATTGAAAAAAGTTTAAAACTTTGAGCACCAAAAACCAAACTAGTTTGAAATAAATTTGTAAGCATGAGAGATAAATGTGAAAACTGCATATGTATGAATCTCTCTTATGACATACACACTTTGTTTCTTAGTCTATGTTTGGATTGATGGCAAGGGATGAAATAATACCAGCTCTTAATCTTTGAAATGTTTAAAATAGATTGAAATGGATTCAATATCCCTCCTTTTCTTTCCTTTTTATTTGTGTCTGGGTTAGGGGATGGGCGTGTATGGGATGGAAGCATTCCTTTTATCACTCATTGTACAAGCATTCAAACTGTAATTATATTCGATTATGTTCCTTTCCATTTCATTCCATTCTACTCACCATTAGACAATTGATATACAAATTACAAACACAATCTTAGGGAATGGGGTGGGTGGGAGATTGATGAAAGAAGCAAAAGTCCCAGAGGAAATCAAAACAAGATTTAAGTTCTTACAGTACCTGAACTGGTGGAAGGAGCTTCACAGCGTAGATTATCCAAGCTAACGCGAAGACTACCATTATGCTCATTCTTAAATGATGATGACAGGGATGAATGAGGTGATCCTATGTCTCGCAAACAAGATGTAGTAGATTCTTTTCTATTGACTTGATGCAAATCAGCATCTTCTGGATTGTCAAGGTTCTCAAAAGCAACAGGTCGAGTATCATCAAAATGTGGTGAATCCAAGACTATCTCAGGTTGCTGGCTTATGAAATTAAGATGCACGTCACATTGGATAAGCTTTTCAAAATGTTTGGCTAACAACCCTTGTGGAACTTCCAAGAAATGTTGCCTATAAAACCACAAGATGAAGTTCTCAATATTATGGCCTAGTAAATATAGGATACAGAACTTGAATATAATAGTATAAAGTTCAACCTTAATACAAATGAAAAGTAAGAAATTTAACCAAATAAACTTGTAATAAAAAAAACCCATTATTCACAAGGAATGGATCATGAGCTAATAACACAAGAGAATTTGACATCATATTAAACACAAAACCTTTTATACTAAATTTGTGAGTGTTTCTCACTTAAAGGTTGCTCAACTTGTTCATTTCTACACAATGTGAGACTTTAGCTTTCCCTTAAATTCCAACAAGATGCTTTAAAATGTACATTAATAGTCCTCTAAAGGCAATAAATACTACCTTGATAAATCAATAAAAACCATAATATTTCTCAATTTGTACTGATGAGAAACTTTTGAGCTGACATCCACATACCAGAGGACTGTGAAAAGAATATACCTGTGTTTGCTTGCCTCTCCATTAGTAAAATCTGATGTTGTTTGCCATAGTGTATGCTTTCTGGGCTGAGGATTAGTCTCCCTGAAGAAAAGAGGTTGTCTTGTGAGCTGCAATACACAGAAACTCATCAATAATTCAATGAAAATGAAACTGAACATTTACCCATGCATAGGTGTTTGTATCATTGTATAGTAAAAGAGCAATTAAAGTAGCTATATAGAGATATGAGAATAAATTACCACCACAGTCAACGAGCTAGGTCCAGTATCAGGACAATTTGCCTTAAGTCCCATGATATCGGACCACTGGATTTCCAGTTTGCTCTTTAGTTCACCTTCAAGAACTTCCCAAACAAGCTTTTGTTTAGCGAAGTAACATTTTGCCACTAAGTCACCCTCATGTTTTGATTTATACTGCCATAAAGAGAACCTTGAGCTATGTAAAACTCAATGAAAAATATATTTTCCCATAATACTAGTGACATGTAGTTGTATCTTGAATATACCTCCCACGAACCAATTCTTAAAAGTGAAGCTGGGAAATTTGAAGCCTTAAGCTTTTCAACAGAGCCTGATGCAGCTGCGGCCTGACTCTCCTTTTTCAAACCAGAGCTTAAATTTTCCTTTTGTATATTTGCAATAAACATATTGTCTTGAGAAAGCTTCATTTGTATCAAATCTAATAGCGAAGGGCTCTTCCTCAGACGTAAACCCAGAGGGCTAGGCTCGTCAAGTATATTGTTCTGGGAAGGAGAACTGGAAGATGTACTATTTGAAGCATTGCATTGCTAAACGATTTTAAAAACATGCACATGGAGAAAAGGAAGTTATCAAAGTGAACATATTAAACAGGAAGTTGAGAGAAAATGAGTAAAAATAACACAAGCAAACTAGTATTTTGGTCCCTGAAAGTACATATCAGTATTACATTAGTCTGCAAAACTAAGAAAATTTCAAACAAATCCTTGAAATCTTCAATTGTTTCATCCAAGTCTTTAACTTGATCCTTAAACATATGTTAAAATTATCATCTCAGCCATATTATCTTTCGAATTTTGGACTAATGTGATTGAAGAATTGCATTCTTAGATACTTATTTAAAATTTCCTAAGTTTATATACTAATGTGAGGATATTCATTGCTAAAACTAAAAAACGGTTTACTAAAAGAAAACAGTAAAAATTTAATACATTTTTTTAAAAACTGTGACAAAAAAAAAATCATGTTCTATGATCTCAGCTTTATATTGCTTCATTGAAGAAGTCACTACTCATTCAAAAACTGCAACTATTAGACCCCTGGCACCAGTGTATCAATCTATCTAACAAAAAGGAAGATATTATATAAAGAAAGTGAGAAACCTCGTGTGAAGCGGATGAAGTTTTGAAACGCTTATTCAGAGGAGCATGCTCTTTTTGCAGTGGTTCCTCCACCTCCAACTTCAATGGCACCCTTTCGAGGTCTGAACGAAGCTTTATGATACCCATTGGCTGAACCATCAAATTTTTCAGTGAAGCAAGAAATGCTGAATCGAAGCGTTCGTATATCGCAAAAATGCTTAAAAAATGAGAACAACGCGGAGAAGACCAAACCAAAGAAGAGAAAGCGAACTTCTGTTTTGGTTGGACTGGGTTGGCAATTGGCGGAAACAAAACAAAACATTGTTCGATGCTTCTGAGGTGAAACGCGTGCACGTGATCAATGGCGCGTGCGAACCTTTCAGCTGTCTAAAATAAAGCATTTGCTTGGTTACTGTCGGCGCGTGTGCTGGCAGACGTATGAAACAAAATGAGTTTATGGATAATGTGTCCCCTTCCTTTTTCGCTTTTAATATTAATGGAACATAAAAAGGATGTTTTCACCTCTGATTTTTGTTGCATTCTTAATTTTTTTTTTTGCCAATTACACGTTTTTCGATTGTTTGTCAACGTTCTCCGCTTCTTTTGCTATGTTTATGCAATCCATACAGATTAATTAGAGAAGCGTGTTCTGACATAATTCAATGTTATTCTAACAATTTTGACCAAAGAATTAGCAAAGTAATCAAGTGGGTGTTTAGATATAATGGGAAGACAAATGGGAATGGAACCAAAAAATGTTGGTACGAATTCGTATACGTACTATCATCAAGCGTATTCCTTTTGAATTATCTCTCTTTTTCTTTATAAAATATCTTTAATAAAAGTACGATGTTGAAAATGATTTTATTTTGGCACAAATATTTTTTTTTTAACAATATTAAGAATTGTTTTCGAAATAAAGAGAAAACATGTGGATGAAATTTTTTTATTATTTGAACATAACTAGAAAATATAAATATTATTGTTCGTGTGTTGTACACGTGTCGTGCATTATAAAATCGTACTCTTTTTTTTGGAATTTTTATTAATGATTATTAACTACGTATTATACTATGATAAAATGAAAAAAAAAAAAAATGGCTACAAGAAAGCTTAATTTGATATCTTCCAATGGAATTTTGTGCATACAAAGAATGTATAGTCTTAAGCAAATACACATATATTTGACTCAGTTAACTAAAATTTAAAGTAAAATGCTCAAAACGTTAATTTTTATTCATTAAATTTATTAAAAACTTCAAAATCAAGAAAGAGTCATTATATACCAAAATTTATACTTCTTAATAAATTTCAACCAGTAAAAAAAAAGAAATCCAAAGAGTGTGCTTTATTTTTGCATAATTTTTTTCACACTCGCAAGAAAAAATTGCAATACCCAGTGTCAAGTTATCAACTATGTTCTTAGAAAAAAAAGTTCAACAGTGTATCTTTAAATTGCTAACTATGCACTATTTATCATACTTTTCATCATTATGTAGAATTCATAAGTGAATTCCATCGATCAGTAAATAGTGTTTTTAAAAAATTAATGTTTTCTAAAATGTTTTGTTAACATTCCCTGTTAATGATTATCAACTATGCATTTTTTAAAAGTATCCTTCATTTTTTAAAAAGAGAAGAAATACCAAGATAGGCAAAAAGCAAGCTTAATTTTCCTTTGGCAATAACTAAAAATCGAACTTCATGTATAAAATAAATTAAGAAAATTATACATCATGAGCAAATTCACTTATCATAGTGTTGTAGACTATTCATAACAGCTTGTTTCGCATAATTTGAGACCTTGTTTCAACTTATCAACTAGGTAGAGTAAAAAAAATGCTAGCTGCGCACTTTAACTTACTCTTCATTATTAGATTGAATTCATATGGTAGATTCCACACAAGTATGTTGCGTAAAAGTAAATGGTAATCAGAATATAAAGTTTGTACAGTATTCGGTTAATATTTCTCATTCTACTTAACTTACCAAATAGATTACGATGCTCACATGATTTTTGGTAGATTGCTAAACAATTGCAAAGATAAACTGGAAGATGGAAAACAAATAGCAATACTGTGATGTCAATAAATACCAATTGTTACATGATACAGGAAAGTGAACCACATTCTTGAGGTACTCATATCTCAATTAGCCAAAACAAACTGTATTCATTTGAAAGCAGATTGAAGACGTCAAAATCACCAGACTAAACACAGCTAGGCTTCTGAATCACATTTGCAAACACGACATCTATGTAGCATTTCTGTTTACTTTCAGATATGGTAAGGCTCCAATTACGTTGTCATAGTCGCTCCTGCTGACCGGATGCTGTGCAAGACAAGAAAAAAAAAAAGTTATACACGAGAAAACCAATCCCATAATTTAATAAAATAGTCCACATCCTAGCCAAATTTTCAATACAGGTAACTCAAGGTCAACAAACGTAACAGCTAAATCCAACTGCATCATTTTAGAAACTCAATTGCTGTTAAAATGGATGTAGATTAGGTAGCAGTCCCTAGTTCAAGATGAAAAGCCCAATAACCGGATTTCTCCAATGAATGTGATATTCATTTGATCTCTTCTAAAGTAATCAATTCAAAGAGCTACAGTGATATTAGTTCAAATGATAATTTCAGTCAGCTTATAAAGTTGCATACAACTCAGTTTCATTCATGCAATTTATAGATAGCTGTATTCACATTAATTTATCACATAAAATTGAAGTAGCAAATATTTGTTCTTGGACGGGAAAATCGTGGATGCTTTGTTAAATTAAGATTTTGAAATGACCACAGAATATGTGCAACTTGGAATAAACTGCTCATGGCAGTTCAGTGACATATGCCTGAGACTTCGTCATTGCAAGTTCTGATTCGGAGGATAAAAAATAGAGTTTAGTGACATGGTTTGAATACAGATGCTCTAAAAGACTTCTCATCGTACATATCAAGTTCAAAACGATGTCATAACCACTAAATTTCAATTATACACAACACAAATCACTCAAAATCAAATAGCTACTTCTGAATAGAATGGCACCTCTGCAGAGTTTTTCACATGATCTCTACAGAGTAAATTTCAGATTCTCATACAAACAATAATGAAGAATGCTAACAATAGAATGACATTGATTAAAGAATTAAAAATTGAAAGCTTTGATGGAGAAGTATTAGGAATGCATCCCTCGCCCCCAACATGATTTCTAATATAAACTTTCTATTCATTATTCCTTAACCAATTTCCTTACAGCATTCATTAGTAGGACTCTACAATAATTAGCTGACAGAAGAAACCCATGACAGATAAAGTCCACATGTAAGAGAGAAGAAATAAACATTCTTTCTAAATTTGAATTTGGTATTTGGTAATGTACGAATGCACTAAATTGGAAATCATAGAGAAGAAAACAGATTCAAGACATTTTCATAGGAAATGGAGGGGGAAGGTTGACCCGTGTATATTCAAACTTGTTAGTTGTTGCAAGCTCTTTGTCCCAAAATTTGATGCATAAGATAAAATTGCTTTCAAGTATCAACATTTAGACATTGAATGCAACAAACTACCAGATGACATCCACTACACATAGAGGTGGGTAAAATGTAGGAACTGAACTGAACTGAACTATAGTAAACCTTAACTGAACTCTAAAAGTGATTCAACAAAACTGAAATGAATTTTACAATTGTTTACCATTCAGCAATTTTATATAATTTTTGTGCCATTATGCAGTATCGGGGGACTTTCTGTAGAACAATATAAACAGTCATAGGCCATAACAAAATTCATTCATTATCTAAGGCCAAGACAATTCACTAAAATCAGTTATCGAATAGTGTGCTCAGAACATTGACTTGATTAGGTTAAGCAAGGAGATGTTGCGAGGATGATGATATGATTAATATGATCTAACCATTTTGGAGAGTCGTAATTTGCGTTTGGTGTTCTTCTTGACAAGCAAATGCTGCTTGCCAGCTCTCCTACGCACAATTTTGCCTCGCCCCGTCACCCTAAACCGCTTTGCCGATGCCTATAAAATCCATTAACCAAATTCAATTTCCAAAAACCCCAATTCACTAACAAAAATACAGAGAGAGAGAAACCTTGTGGGTTTTCATTTTGTAGCCCTTAGCGGATACAATGGTTAGAGGGCGAAGGGTTGGAGGGAGGGGAGAAGGAGCTGTGCATAGCTTTTGACGAAGAAGTGGAGCGGAGATGGCAGCTGAGGAACTCAGATTGAGGGAGTTTGTGTTGTTCAATGTCGGAAACCGAATTGAACTGTAAGAGAGACGAGTGTAAGAAGAAGAGCAAGGTAAAAGTCCCAAGGCAAAGGACACAGCCATCTTCAGTGAGGTGAGGTTCGTTGAAGCCAAAATGGTTGTTTATGGATAGAGCTGTGGTGCTAACTGCTAAGGCAGAGAAAGCTAGCTACTGTCCTCACATTTTCTCTCTCACATTAACGTAATTTCACGCCATCACAATTTCTTTTAAATTTTTTATGTCTTGCAACTTAGTTTGTAATGAATATAGTAGTATATAATTTTACTTTTGTCCAATACAACATCAGTGTCAGGATGGCCGAGTGGTCTAAGGCGCCAGACTCAAGTTCTGGTCTTCGAAAGAGGGCGTGGGTTCAAATCCCACTTCTGACATGTTTTTATGATGATGACGATATTTTAGTTTTTATTTTTATTTTTAATAGTGTTGATATGTGATTGATCTGTCAGGTAAATTAAATTAATATAATTTATATAATCATCAATATGATTAATAAGATTAAGATTGCTAATATTTTTTGCAATAATTAATTTTATTTCAGTGTTACACTGGCTAATTACACGTACAGAAGAAGAAACATTTTTTATAATTCATATAGCTCCTTTTTTCCTTGTGTATAACAATCGTAAGTATGTTGCATCCTTTTCATACCTTAAGACTATATAGTCATTCAGTAATCAAAATAGTTATTGACTTCAAAAAATTTAACTACACAATTATGTTATGATGCTAATAGGTTCGTACGTGTGAAAGAATTGATTGGTGGATCCTGATTGGCAATTCTACTTAAAACTAAAAACCAAGATGTGTCAGACTTTTAGATTTTAACTCAAATTAGAAGAGACAACACCAAATTGTAAATACATGCTTTTACAGCTACGCATGGAATTTCAAGTAGATGCGAAAGTAAAAAAACCTCCATGGGGTGCGATATGGCATTGGCTATTATAACGTATGACTAATTATGCTGGACAAATGTCATTATTAGGATCACATTTTCCCGACGGAAACTCTTGTCAACCAGCTCCATTGTGTCATCTTTTTCAGCACCGGCAAAGAGAACTTCTCTAAAAGCTAAGGAATTGTAAACATAAATTATTATTTTGAAAAATAAAAGTTACAGCTTTTCTCACGCAGTCGGAACCTCTTCCCTCCCTCCCCAGCACAAACAAATAAGTTGGTATAACATAGTTAGCATGTTTTTTTCCAAGTAAAAAATGAAGTTGACACGAGTCTATAACAATCAAAGGTAAGGAATAAAAAGTAACGGGGCAGATTTCTGAGAAACAAAATACTTTTCATAGAATCATTCACAAGCTAGATCACCTGAGGTCTTCAAACTCATGTTCACTTTTTTGCCTCCAAATATCTGATTCTAATAGATGTGGATACTGCAGCTCGCCTGCTCCTTCTAGAGAGAGACTAGACGTGATGGACATATGCAGACAGCATATTTCATATATCAAGACCAATTATATTCACATAGAGAAAAATGGAAGTTTCCTGTCAAAGGGAAAGTACCAAGTAGATAGGGATAGTTGAAGACAAGAGACGATGAACAGCTAAAACGAAAATATTACAAGTCTAAATTAAGAGTAAATTTGACAGATACAGCCTGTCATTAGCAGTGTAGTCCCATCTCTAGAGTGCAAAGGATGACGAAGCTAATTCCTCAGGTGTTACAGGATTATGCAGCTGCACTCACAAGCAAATATATAGTAAGGATGTGGTAATCTTAAAACACCTTGACAGTAAACATTAATTTCTTATTTTTAATATCTTTTGAATTAGTTAAAAGATGCAATGAATAGGAGGTAGACACAATAATTGACAAACAACAAATCAGAATCATTTAAATACAAGTCTGTTCGTTCTCATTAACATTTTATTTACTTTAAAATTTTGAATGAATTTGATGAAATCCAAAGGCAGTAGTGCACGAAAAAGGGACAGAGTTTTGCTTCTGGCCAGTGCATCCTTTACCCCACAAGAACTTCCATGCGTAAGAGACGATGCAGGTAATACATGGGCTACCTTGTTCTCTGACTCCTAAGTCCTAACATACAAACAATTTAAGTTTCTAAACAGAGGACAAAGTTCTACAATCGGAAATTAAGAGACCGAGATATGTGTCTGGGCACTGCCTTGAGAGAATCTAGTGGACACATTCCAACTCCAAGCTACCAAACTCTACAAATGACATCCAAGAAGCATAAACCCCTATACATCTACAGGAGTAACAACTCAACAAGATTAAGGCTAACACTCATAATTAATTTCTAGATTAGCATTGTGTCATCGGAGACAAAGCTTTGAATAATAACTACACTTTTTGCAGCATGCCTCATAACATATAATCAAGAAGCAACTTCCCACTTATATGGCAAGCAAATGCACACTAAATGAATCTTCCAATGCATAATGAAGAAAAACAACACTGACAAATTCATCATTGTGTAAATAGTAAATACTGAGTTTTAATCTAACCAAAATATACAATAGCTTAATCAAACGGCCGCACTCGCATAGTGATTCAGAAACGACTTACAGCTTTTGCAACAGTAAGCCAATGAAAAGCTCGGAACAATTCATCGTTATGGGAAGGAACGTAGTCATGGTTCCAATAGGTTATGTCCTGAAACGTCGCTTTGGTGTCCCAAGAGTTAGAGTTTTGTTTAGACGACGGAGGCGAAGTTTTCTTAGCCAAAACAAAACCTACAGAGCCGCACACAAAACATTCATTCTTTTGCATCAATTGTTCTCAACAGAAACTAACAATTGAATTTAGCATATGAATATCAAAGAGACAATAAGATACCAGAGTAACCGTGAGGAAGTTGGAGAGTGGTTCCCTGGAGTAGCCTTCCTCTGAAATGCGCTTCTTGTAATGGCAAACCTTCGTCGGCGACGCCGTTGTGTTTAGGTTTGAAGTAGTGGGAAACGGAGGCGGGACCGTCGTGCTTGACGCAGCAGGGGAGTTGATGAACGCGGCCACTCAGATCCTGTCCATGTGGCTTGAGATCTACGGTGGCGTTTTCCATTTCGGCCTTTGCTCTTCCAATCCACACCGTTGGGTTCCGTCGCGGGAGATACAACACTGGACGCGCGAATTTTGATTTTGCCTCTAAAATCGAACCCCAATTCTTAATTAGCATTCTTTCTTTCTCTCTCCTTTTCCCTCCTGTTTTTATTTCCTCCCAAACCAAGCACATTTAAACAAAATTAATTAACGATATTGTAGAAAATAAATCGAGGCGAGTAAATTAAAAATAAAAATAATAATAATAAACATATTATAGTGAAGTCTGAAACTAAAAAATAATTTAAAATTAAAATACAAGTAATAGTGAAACAAAGTTTGATATATCTTGCTAAGTAATTCAAATTGAACCAATCCTACCTCAATTTAATCACTAGGGGTTGCGTAATCGGAATGATTGGTTTAAAACTTTATTACGTTTTTGGAATTTGAAAAATATAAACAAATCCAGTAAAAATTAAATCAAAATATATATTTCATAATTCAGAGATAAAACTAAAAAATAAGACCAACTTTGTATAGTCGGTAATCTTGTAAATTACATATAGAAATCAATAAATACATTTACAATATAATGATCAATCACACGCTCAGTTAAAAATGAAAAACCTAATTAATTCAAGCTATGTAAAAGTTATCTACACAGTAATTACTCTTATAACTTACATTTATTTAGAATTCAATAAATATGTGTAGTATTAATTATTTTTTAAACTACTAGCACGAATCACTTTCCTTACTTCATTGGTTTGTTTGGTGCAGCAAATATATAGCAAACACGGAAGAGATGGTGAAGAAAATAGGCGGGTTGCACATCAATTTCAATTATTTGGTGGAGCAGAATTCACAAAAATAAAAATGAAAATTGTGTTAATCCCATATTTTGTTTGATTCCTTTAAATTTAAGCAGCTTTGTGAAGAAAGTCTGACACAAAATTCATTTGGTTTTTTCCAGTGTTCGAATATATATATATATATCCCAACTCAAATATTATTATTTCATGTCCATTTTTTTCTCCCTTTTTCACCCATCTACTTCCATTCTTTGTATTTTCATTCTTCTTTCTTGTAACATAAATTTAAAACTAAATCATCGTGTTCACCTACTCATCTCCTGGAAACATCTCATTTCTCTGTCTTAATTAAAAAGAAAAAAAAAAAAAAGGAAATATATATTTTTTTAAATCCACACCCCTGTATACCTTGGTCTTCAATCATTTACGATCGTAATTGACCTGATAGGGCATGTCCATAAATGAATATCAAGGTTGAATGCAAAGAATAGTTTCTGCTTTTGCACAATTTAAGGACATTCTCTATATAGCACTGGCCATGGAATAGCAGTTTCAGCTATTGTTTTCCGTGATCAGGTTAAAACAGCACCGGAACCAAATAGTTGACGGTTAAAATGACATCCAGTATACAGATGCCACCATCATTAACAGAAAGGGAAATGTATTTTAGGTAATTGGGGTGATAGTAGGATTTTGATAAAATTTTCATCTTTGAGTCACTTTTACGCATGCTACATATATTGTACAATCCCAAAATCCATTTGCGTGCAAATGGCTTTACAAAAGGAATAGAACATTGTGAAATACATAAAAAGGACAAATAGTCCGTTAAAAGCTACACCCCTCCTATCAGTTGCAAACTTGTATCCTTTCTGATATTCAAGCCACCAAAAGGTTGACACTCTGAATGTTATTGTCTTGTCAATATGGCTACGGCTTCCCATTCCAAACTACATATCACATCCTGCATAGTAGTCGTATAACATCAGAAAGGAGGTTCCCACTTTCTCTTTCTACCATTTCCATTTTGTTAATTTGAACAAAAAAAAAAGTTATAATGCATTTATTTCTCATTTGAAAGCTCTTGGACGTTAACCCGTGGATTTGGTTGTCACACTTTCCTGGCATCCAAGGATAAGTGTGACAACGAAGACACAAGCACACTTATCTGTTTTTAAGAAACAAAAATTAAGAGCTAAAAAAAGGCACCATCAAAATCATTCCCTCGTAATGGTAATGCAAACAATATTAGCTGTCACCACTTACCAACGGATTATGTCGATCAATATCAAAACTGTTGATGGCACAAGGTTCAGCCAGAAGCTCAACAGGTTCCTCACCTATACAATAAGACATCACATAAGCACCAAATCAATCCCACCATTTTAGTTGAGTTAAAAGCTGTTCGATATGAAAAACTGTTAGTAAAGTTTCAATCACAAAAATGTCACTTCACTTACTGTTTCCTGTACAAATATTAGAAGACAGAAAAGAAAAAGAAAATAAGGTGATATTTTTGTAATCAAAAGCAAAATATAAGTGATGAAAACAGAACATATAATACAAAATAAACAGTTCCTAAATTTGCTGGTTCCACTAACTTGTAAACAGACAATATAAAATTGCACTTTAACATGAATTGCAATGAACATATATACCTTGCTCAATCACAGCGAGAATTCCATCCTCGGAGCAGATCATGGAAGGTAAGATCCGGCTTGATGAAGCGTTTGATTTTATGCAACGGTCATACTGAACCTCCCAAACCTCACTTTCAGATATTGACTGGACCATTGTGTTGCCAGCCCCAGAAAGTATAATTGGTTGTTGCTGCCACCTAAGATCCCAGGCAAACACACTACCCAAGGAGCCACCAGCCTGAGTATATTATAATCCCAGAAATGTCAGCAGCATACAAGAAAAAAGCATTAAGCACCACCTCTAAGGCTCCAAACCACCAGTTTGATTTATTAAAATCTGATACAAGATATCAACTATCATTCATTCTTCTATTCATTTATGTCAAAGCAGTTGTTAGTACATAAGTGAGAAACAGATTAACAGCTCCCATAATGTTATTAAACCACCCTTAAATTTTGTTAAATCCCAGATAAAGCACATTAACAACACAATCATAGAAGTGAATTATAGTTGCCTTGGCATTATACCACATTCATATTTTCAACCTTAGCAGCCTAATTGTATTCATTCAACTAGTAGTCTACTGCGGAACATAAAGAAACAATAGCAAACAACCATCCAATCACGCGACAACAATTATGCAAAGTCGCAGCATATCAGGGGCAAAAAACTAAAACTATGCTACCAGCTCTTTACAAAAACATTCACAAAGAGGCATGCAATTTCTACTTATGATCTTATCGACAAATAACAAGTGGAATACACGCATCTTACCAGACAAGTGTGCTTTCGTGATGGATGAATGTCAATCGAGTGCACAATCCCTGAACTCATTTTTTTATCCCTGCAAATATAAATTACATAGCAAGCATCAAGCAGACTTCTGACACAACAAGATAAATTTATTTCTGTACACTTAGCCAGCGTTGAACTAGTCATGCATTTCAAGAAAGACATAGCATCCATTAACAAATCACTATTGACATAAATGCGCTTCCACTGCCGTAACATTTTTCTCTTACCAGTTACCCTTAAACTGAGAAACCGGTCCTCCCGGTTTCCGTTGGTCCCACCACTGAAGGCTGAAACCGTACCCACCGGTGGCGAACTCCATTGGCGAGGCCCACCGCACCGCCGTGTACGACACTAAGCCGCCGCTATCAAACAACCTCCGGTAACTCAAATTGGAATCCCCAACGCCAACCATGTTGACCTTCCCATCCTCCCCGACGGTGACGCACTCGACGCCACCGTCCATCAGGTCGACGGAAGAAGCGGGGACGGAATGCAGAGCGCCCTCGGGAACCGATACCTCGGAGTCGAGCGAGGAATAGGAGGAATCGGCGAAGATGAAGTGAAGAGAGCCGGCGGCGGTGGAAGCGACGATGAGGGGCTTCAGGAGGAAGTGCGAGGTCTTGAGAGAGGAAATGCGAGAAGGCAAGGACGACGAGAATTGGGGTTGGAAGGAGAAGGGGTTTGGGGTGAGAGAGTGGATTTGGATGGAGGAAGCATCCGAATCGAAGTCGAATAGAGCGAGAACTGCGAACCGATCGAATGGAGATAGCTGAGGAAGCCAACGAACTGCGTCTACGTATTTGTGTTGGGGGAACCTGTGTATTGCCGTAGCTGCCATTGCCAGGGTTTCTCTGCAACAACAACAGCAACAACTGAAACGCGGGTTCAAAACACAAAACGGTGGCAAATTGTTGATTATGACCTATGTATCCCTCAAATTTATTTATTTTTTAAATTATTTCTTTCATTTATTTATATATTTTTCTTTTTTTTACTACATTTCCTTGACATAAAATATATTATTTTGTGAATATGGTAAAATAACAATTAAAATAAACCTCTTTTTTTTTTCAAATTTCAAATAGAGAAAACAAAAACATATTCTACAAATTTCACTCACTCATAATTTTATGATAAATAATTTCAAATTTCACCTACTCATAAATAATTTTAAGTTTCACTTCCTCATATTTTACAAGTTTTTTTCCTCAAATTTCAAATAGAAAAAATAACATATTTAAATATATGATAAAAGAAAGTATGATAGAAAACTTACAGTTTGTTTATTTACAAAAAATAATTACATGGTCATAGATCGAAAAATAATTAAGATAAATTTCTCTTGTAATAATAAGTTGTTGAAGTTTAAATGTTTAATATTTTGTTTGTATTCAATAATTTATCCCTTATATATATAAAATTATTTAAATCATGTTGAAATTTTTGTATATTTAAAACTATGCTTAAAACTTCTTTTTTAATAGTATTATAATTCTTTTGGACATCATTCCATATTCCTGAGTGATATCTTATTATTTATTCGAGATTATTATGTAACTTTTGTTTTAGTACACCCACGTATCTTATATCAGAGACATCAGTTTCTATAATTATTTTTGCTTCTGGATTTGGTATTCCTAGACATGGTAGGATTTTAACTAATTTTTTAACTTCTATTACTATTTTGGTCATTTCTGGAGTCCATGGTTTGAAATTTTTTCTTAATCTATTAAAGAGGGATTTACATAATATTCGAATATTAGGTATAAATTCTGATACATAGTCTAAACATCCTAAAAATTTTGTAATTGCAGCTTATCTTTTATTTCGTCAGGAAATTTTTCTAAAAATTCGATACTTCTTTTAATGGGAGTTATAGTTCCTTGATTTATTTCATGACCTAAAAATCTAATTTGTGTTTTGGCTAGTTTTATTTTCTTTTGTGATATTACCATTCTATTAGTTTTTATAATATTTTTAAATATTCTTAAATGTTTTTTTATGTTGTTCTATTGATTCGGAGAATATTAAGACATCATCAATATAGACAATGACAAATTTCGAATAAGGGTTTAATATATCATTCATTATTTTTTGAAATTCGGAAAGTGCATTTTTTAAACCCATAGGCATTACATTCTATTCGTATTGCTCAAACTAGTACTATAAAAGCAATTTTATATTTATCTTGTTCTTTTAATTTAATTTGATAATACCCACTTTTCATATCAAACTTAGAAAATATAGTGGCATTATAAATTCTACTAATTAATTTAGTTTTATTAGGTAGATGATATTTAATCCATTTTAAGACTTTATTTAAAGGTTTATAATTTATTACCATTCTTAGTTCTCCTCTTTCTATTTCGAGACATTTTGTACATAAAATGTTACACAACTCCATGGAGATTTGTTAGGTCTAATGAGTTTTTTATCTAAAGAAGATTTTATTTCTTTTCTATAATATTCTAGGGTTTCTTTATTTAATTGTACCGATTTGGCTTTAGTGGGAATATTCTTTTCTGAATATCCTTCTTTATAGGGTAATTCAATTTCAAAAGTATTTCTATTCCAAAAGGTCTGTAGGGACCTCTGCACATACTTCTTTTATAATTTCTTGTTCTATGTTTTTAAAGGTTGTTATTACTTCGAGATTTTTTAACTGTTCTTTTATTCTTTTGTATGCAATTTCTTGTTTTAAATATTTTATATGGGTGTTTTTGGCTTCTAATTTTAATAAAAAGTTTTCTTCATTTACATCAGTAACTAATTGTATTTCTTTATTTTTATTGGTTTAATGAATTCGAATAAAATGTTTTTATATTTTATTCCTTTTTCGGATACTTCAAAAAGATATATTAATGCTAGAAACGGGGTTCCTAATATCATTTATTCACTAATATCAGGGGTTAGTATAAAAGTGTTTTTAAAACAAGTTCATTTATTACATAGGCTAGCGTTTGGCAATTTATATTTTACCTTTAGTTTTTCAGAATTCGTTGTTCTTAGGGTTTGTAATGTTTTTTCATAAAATTTAGTAGGTATCAATCCTTCTCTTATACAATTTATGTCAGCTCCAGAGTCTACTAAAGCTGTAAATTGTTTATGAAAATTATTTCCAATTTTTAATGTAGCTTTTATATGTCATTTTTGTTGTAAAATTTTTAGTTGATTAACCTTCTCAAAAGTTGATTCACTTGTTCAAGCTAGTTTTATTATTTATAATGTTTAATTTTTCTTCTTGTATTTCATTTTTTTTTAATTCTACCAGTTGAATTTTAATTTCTCTTATTTCTTCTTTTAGAAGACTTATTTCTTTTTGTAAGTCTTGTAAATTTACGAGTTTTTCTTTATTTATTGTCTTTCGTACTATTTTTGAAAAATCATAACCACTTACTTCGTAAGTATAGTTTCTGCTTCTTTTTTGCTTAATATTAATGTTTCTAATTTAGTTAAATATTCTAACTTGTCTTATTCATTTGAAAGTTTATCTACCATTTCTAAAGCTATTTTGGTTTCAGTTGTTAAGACATTAATATTAAATATACAGTCACAATTTTCTTCATTCTCATTTTCATTTAGATTAGTGGTAGGTTCATCTTCACTACTACTAGTTTCTATTAAATTATTAATGTCTTCTTCTGATTCATATAACAATATTTTTGCTATTTGATTTTTTATTTCTTCACTCATATCTAGGTTTTGTATTTTTTCTCGAACTCTACAATCTTTTTTTTATATGTCCGTACCTTCCACATTTATAACAAACTATTCCTTTCTTTGAATTAGGTTGATTATTATTTATAGGAGGGTTGGTTCTTATTTTTTCTAGAAGGGGATCTAATCTTTCATACCCATAGAAATCTCCTAACTCTTTTGTACCACTTTCTTGTTGTCTTTTAATATGTTTTTCTAACTTTAGATTATTACATGTGTCTAAGGCAGTGTTTTTGATAGTTGAAATTATTTTTCCATATGTTATATATTGCAAAGGTTCAGGGTATTTTTGAGCTAATTTTTCTCGTACTTTTGTTGCAAATACTGGGGGTAGTCCGACAATAAATCTTTCTTTCCAAAAGGTTTCTTTGCAATCTGTTCTAGTCATTACCATAATTATAAAATTGTTTACGTACCATCTGAAATCTCCTAAAGTGGGACATCTCATATTATGTAGCAGGGTACTAGTTTTTTCTTCAAAGGTGTTAGAGTCACCCATAAAATTATGGATAATTGATATTATTAAAGTTTCTACCATCAGATGTATTTGATTAGTTCCCTCTTGTTTTACTGCTATTAAAATAAATCGTCTTTGATCTGCGGTTAGATAATTTTTCCACCATCCTTTTAAGGATCCGGTAAATCTTAGGATTAGTAATTGTATTGTTTGTTCTTCTGAGTTTTTTTCCCTATATGCTGAGGCAGCCATGACCATTTCATTAGTTTTTCTTAATAATTAATAATCGGTTAGTCCATCTATGTTCCATTCAGTTATTCCTGTTCTATTAAAGGTGGATGGACTTTCTAAATTCCATTCTTTGAATTGTATATCTGGTAAGGTTGGTCTTCTATAATAATTTCTAGTATTTGACATATTATGAGTAATTGGATTTGCATTAAATTTACTTCCTATTATATTTATCTTTTCTTCATAATCTATATTTTCTAGGTCTCCTAGTTCTTCATCCGGGAATGTCTATTACATTTAATTTTCTTACATTTAATTATTCTAATTTTATATTTATTTCCTCTAATATTCTATCTGATTGATTTCCTATTTTGAATTCTTTATATTCTCTATCTGATAATCTTATAGGGTTTATTAATGATTTTTGTAGGTCGAGTTATTCTTAATGGATTTTTATTACTTTGTGAATTTTCTTCTTCAATAGTTTTTTGAGCTATTTGGTGTAATATTTTATTTGTAAAGTTTAATTGACTATGTAAATTTGTAATATCGTTTATATTAGGAGTATCATTGATATTTCTTTTTTCTCCTATCATTTTGAAGGGTGATGCAATTACTTCTTTATTTTCAATATTAGGAAATCGACTTCTTCCAAAGGAGGGATTTTACTTATTATTTCTTTACCTTTTGTTTTCCATATTTTTTCAGCATTTTGTAATACATTGATTTGTAAATTTTCTAAACAGTTTTCTTCAAACCATTTAAAGTAAGGTATATATTTTCTTGAATTGAGTTTAAATAATTATAATATTTTTCTCAATATTCTTTTAATTCATTTTGAGTAAAGGTCTTGAAAAACCATTCTCTTTTTTCTTGATTCTTTTTATCTAAAAATTCTTGTCTTAATAGGTCTTTATTTATCTCGAATTTGGTTATTACATTTATTATACTATCATCTTGCTGTATTTTAGAAGCAGAAGGAGAATTATGGGTTTCTATATTTTCATATTCGTATTCGGCATTGATATCGTGGGGTCATTTTTTATGCCTTTTAATTTTAGACTTCTATGATATATTAGACTAGATTGGTCCATTGATCTTCTGACTGTTACAAAAGTATTTATACTAGATGTTCCTCTTAGTGAATTTATTCTTCTGATTGTGACAAATGATACTTCTATACTGTTCCTGATTTATATTCAGTTATATTTTCAACTTCTACTGCATTAACTTTTTCTGGATTTACTAATAACATAGTTGTTTCATCTTTTGGAGACGTTAATAAGACTCCAAGTGTTAATTGGGTTTTCATTATTTTATAATAAATATTATTGTTATAAGTATTGATTTTGGATTCCATACATTTTCGGGATTTTAATATCTAATAGTATATTATTTTTCGTATTATGAAGACTTTTAAGGGCTATAGAATAATTTAGGTAATTATTTATATATATTGGTCTATTATGAAGATTTGTTTCAAACATTGTTAATATTTGGTTTTCAAGTTTTACTAATCTATTATCTCTTAGAACAACGAACATAGGTGTATCTATTCCTTTTCGAAGAGAGGTTTTATTGATCCTATATGAAGATATCTGGATTCATTTATATGTTCGGCTATTAAGGTTTTATTTATTAATGATATTTTTTCATGACTTGATAAAAGTTCTATTTCTTTATTTACTGTTTTTACTATATATTCAGATTTAAACATATCTTTCCAATTAGTTTTATAGATAGTTGATATTTCGAGTTTTGGAAGGGTCCATTTATTAAGTTAATTTTCTATTTCTGGAATAATTAGTTCATGGTGTACTATGTTCATGTTACTGGTTTCTTATTCTGTATTATTATTTTCTTCAAACTTTTCTTTTCCTTTAGATAAAAGTTTTATTAATTTTGTCATCCTAAAGCTAAGGTCTAAGATGCTCGGAAACACCACAAAGTTTATTGTCACTTGCTAGACTTATGACCTAAAGCTGGCTTACCAACACTCATCTACCCTCAAAAACTCTTAAGCAAGGTTTGATTAATAAAAAAAATTTCTATTAAAAAAGTTAAGTTTTCAAACAATAAAAATTCGAGAGAAATTTAGAGAGAACACAGATATATAAACAAAGTACGTGACTTTGTTAATCCAATTTGATCCTCACAACTAAATAAATAAATAAATAAATAAATATATATATATATATATATATATTCCAATTTGATCTCACAACTAAATAAATAAATAAATATATATATATATATATATATATATATATATATATATATATATATATATATATATATATATATATATATATATATATATATATATATATACCATGAACTATAATGATCACTTTCTCTGAAATCCAAAAATAGCTACATATTATGTGAAAATTGTTTTCAGTGGCTTGGCTTATAAGATTCATGTAGTTTTGATTTACCTAAAATGAAAATTACGAAGCTAGCCTTTTGTGTTTAGGTGACTTAAAACTAATGTACCCTGTATATTGTGAAGGTCACTGTGGATAAGAGGAAATGGAAGTCACTGGAATGCGGGGTGGTGTTTTGGGCTTTAATTATTGTGTTCCTGTGAGAAAAATTGGAAGAAGATTTGGAAGAGCTTTGGCTAAAAGGAAGGATTTTGAAGAAAATGGGAAGTCCCAACAGGGACCCTTTTCCCCTCTGAGGATTTCCAGGTCAATTCTCGCTCGCGGTGCCATTGGGGTGTTTGGATTAGGGTTCGTGGATGCTGGGTTAGTTTGTTTGTTAGTATGCTTTCTTTTCTTTCTTGTTGAGTTTGTCTGAAGTTTTGTTGATTCATGGTAATGCACAAACGTTGTTTCAGGTACAGCGGTGACTGGTCCAGAATCGGAGTGATAACACAGCAGAGTGAGGAATTGCTTAAGGTTGCAGCTTTTCTCGTCGTTCCCTTGTGCATTTTTCTAATTTTTTTTCTGCCCACGGAGCCAAATTCTTGAAAATTTCAATGGAATGTGAGTTTGGTTGAAAATATTGTATACATGGACTCAATGGATTTCGATTGTTGATCAAAGTCTCAAATCATACTTAGGATATGGCTAGAAGTGAAATTGTGCTTGAGAAGATCTTTCAACGCCAATCCTCTAACTCTCCCTCATTTGCTGCTTTTCCGATTAACTGCAATGGAAAGTGAAGTAAAACGATCCAAACATGCTGAAGGTTTGTAAGAATGTTGCTTGAATGATCACTTGGATAATATTAGAAATGGTTAGTGTTGTTATATTAGTTCCTAGATTAAAGACATTGTTAAAAATGTCTTTCAAGTTAGATTTTGTCTATTATGATAGTTCTCCTTCGCTAATGTTAATGTCCATGCTAATGGTTTGAAAAATGTATAATAATATTATTTTTTTAACATTTTTATAAATATGCGTTTTTTAAAACTATTAAATTATATAAAATAAAAATGTATAATTGAATAGAAAACTAAATAAGTGTCTTTTTTGTAACTAAAATTTGCATATATAAATTATCTATTTTACATGTTACTAAAAAAATTAATAAAGTTATAATCAAAATAAAATTGATTTAATTTTATTTTGAAAAAAAAATCATGTTAATTATGTCATACAATTCTATCAAAATAACATGATTTATTTTCTTACTAAATTGTTTTGAATAAATATTAAAGAACGATGGTTCAGAGGATTTTCTTTACATAAAATTTACCTGAACTCCTTTAGATATGTTCTAAAGCCTCGACTTGATAATTAGCAAAATGGGAAATTTTACAAAATTCAATGTAGACTTTATTTAAGTGATTTATCTAGTTATAATTACATCTCAAACCAATCATGAAATAATGGGTATACTGTTTAATATGGTAAATCAATTATGTCACTCATAAGGCACTATGCATGCCAGGTCTGAAGTTTGAGCCATGATTGTCATCCCCAAGTTTTGACTGAGGAAGATGAGGATGCACTTTCAAGTATTTTTTGTCCTTCAAATCAAATTTGTTATGGCTAACTATATAGATAATTAAAAAAAAACTATATTTCGTGCAATTTACTACGAATGAAAATGAAAGAGAAACATTTTATTTTTTAATAAGAATTTTATTATGGTTTCTTTTACATAATTTGAAGACCATTTTTGTTGAATGATGTCTCCAATACGAGGGAGAACGTGTATTAAATCCTAACTATTTTTGTGAAGGTTAAAAGCGAGGAGAGGGTAGAAAGAGAGTTAAAATAATTATTTATTTGGAATAGTAAAGAAAAAAAAAGGAAAGAATTAAAAAAATAGTGAAATCCAAAATTCCTCTTGGTAGAGTGTTTGAAAATAAAAATAGAGTGATAATTATTAGCATTTCACATCCTTAATTATTTTAGCTACATAATAATAAATCATGCGAAGAGTTTATGCAGCTTTTTTTCTCTCACTAATAATAAAATTAAATCTTAATTAGAACAACAATATATATATATATATATAATATTTAGTAATATTTTTTTCTATAACAAAATAACTAGATTAATATAATTTTCATACTTTAATTTAATATTTAGTAATAACTTTTTATCATCATAAATTTGATAAAAGAATTAAATTTTCATATTTAAAAAAAATGAAAATTAATATTTTTAAAATATAAAAACCAAAAACAATTTTGTTAAAAAAAGTGTATACATCAAAAAGAATATTTAACCCATAATATAATAATAATAAGAAACAATAATAGTAGTGATGAAAATAATTATATATATTTTTAAACTACAAAATCTTACAAATATTATTTTTTACTTTATTTCTTTCTAACCAAATAATTTATATTTCTTATTGTCCCTCTTTCTTTTTTAGCAAACATACCATAAACATGCCAAATTTAAGCATTGAGGAGGGAAAATAAAATATCTATCTCCATTTTAATTTACACTACAACGCTAAATTCTTGTGGCCGTCTATCCAAAGGAAGACGAGATACTGAAACAGAAAGTGTGTAAACATACAACATTCTTCAGTGCCCTTGTCACTAACTTGGTCTTAAGATCTTTTCTACGTTATTACATTTTCTTTTCAATCTGACAATTCCAATGAGAAAGTTGTAACAAAGAAAATCAGAATTGCTAAGGCACAACATCACGTCTCCTCTGCAAATTTTAAAGAAAATGTTGAGCTGCACTCTTATCTCTCAAGTACCCAGTCATTTCTCACTCCAATCATAATGCAATTCATGCAATTGGAAAACTAGCATAGTATATCTCTCGAGTGTTTTTAAGACACGTATTTATTAATTGGCTAATAAGCACAAGTAGGTGATCCCAGTCGGAAATTCAATATTACTAGTGTGGCAACACTATGGGCAAGTGCGCCTAGAACAACAAAAACATGAAAAATTTGATGGCTCTGCCCTGCGATATCAAATGCTCCTGGCTTCCATCGTTCTGGTATTCTAGAAACATAAAATCCAGCTCCAGTGGCATATAGAATGGCCATAGCAAGCTCATATCCAAGTGCAACAAATATATGGGGCTGGCCCCAATACAGGGCAACAGCATGAGCTGCTGGAATTACCCCTGAGAAGCCCATGGAGAGGAATAAGGTGGCTCTGAGGGGTCGGAACCGAGGGGTAGAAAATGAAGGTGCAAGTAGGGTAATAATGGCAAGGACTCCAAGTACAGATATTGACGCCAAATAGAATAACCTTGCGTAAGGATTGCAGAAGAAAGCATAGTAAATTGGAGCAAAGAAGGAACAGACAATCATAAGAGAAATGCCAGCATAATCTAGACGCCAGAAAAATAGGTTAAAGTTTTTGGAGTGGCAGGCCAAAAGATGGGAAAGAGAACTGCAAGCTAGGCAGCCCATTCCTCCAGCTAAGAAAACGAACCATGGCCACCGAGGAATTATCTCTACCCCAGATCCTCTCATCTCACCATGGATAGATGGGTCCACAACGTGTCTAAAATGCAAATCCTGAAAAACAAAACAGAGAAACTGTTAATCCCCACATCATCTACCTCATCTCATCAACATATTAAGTTAATCCACATATTGCCAATTGATTTTATGTTGAAACTTTATCAGAAAAAAACGAAAAGTTGATAGAATAGCTAATGAGTTCTTAGTTATCTTATGTTAATGGCACACATTGTCCATAACGACAAACTAAGTACATTTTAGAAAACATGATTACAAAATTATCTAAAACCGTCAGAACAAGCCCTACCATAGACGGATTAGTAAGATAACATTATCCTCTGTGATGCAATGTACCAGATTTTAATAAACATAAAAAAATAGAAGAGGAGGGCATACCATTAAAAACACTCTAAGAAATGATATTTAAACCTCCCGAGATAAGGTAAAAAATCTCATTACAAAATAAGTGAAGCTAAATTGTGATCATGGTACTCGTTTAATTACTGATTCCTATTTTGTTCTCCAGTGTTTTTCTGCAATTTTTAGTTCATGGATTTTAAAAAATTCACAATTTTGATATAATTATAAATTTTTGTATGTGTTTATGTTTTATATTCAACGTTTTGCTTAAATTATTTTCTGGTAGTAATTTAAATGAATATGTCACGTTTAAAATATTTAATTAAACCAAAATACAAGAAATAAACGGTATTCAAAGTTAAGAATTATACCAAAGTTATATGTGTTTTAATATTATAATAGTAGAATAGAAAGACCAAAATCAGGTATAATTTAGTTAATAAGTTATAATTAAGATGTTGAAGATTAATTGGGTTGGGATCGATGGTATTGCTTTTCAATCAATTTTTGAATTTAATTCTTAAATTAATTTTTTTATTAAACATATTGTATAATAAGGTGAAAATTCAAATTTTATAGAAGACTAAACTTAAACTATTTGTCCTTAATGTTGCTCTACATTTTTTTTTTGCAAATCTTCTTGAAAATATTAAAAAAAAAATACAATAGATACTTCTAGCATTGTTTTTAATTACAATTAATTTTTTACCTTGCTAATTTCTGTTGATCTTTCACACTAACATTTATATACACAAATTTAAGAAATAAAACTCAAAATGCTAATTAAAAAACTCTAGAAGCACACAAGTGACTACATCCAAATTTGGTTTCAAGAATTGTTCAATAAGCCACATATGCTATGTTCATGGTGGAATCAGTAACCTGACATAAAAGAAATTTGTCCTATAAAATATTCCATGTTTAACTTTTTTTCTTAGTTGTCAGAGAAGTGACTGTAGACATTTTTAAATATTTTAATTTATATCATTATTTTAACAATCAATGAATATAAAATTGATTTTGCAATATATGCCTAATAAATTAATAATTACTGTCACTATTCACCATTATTATATGGAACAACAAATTTAAGATAATTATTAAAAACAATACCGAGAAAGTGTCAGAGCCATTCATCTCCATCGTCGCTGTCGTCCCGAGCGCCGTGGTGGATCTGGCGGTTCCATCTCACATTCACACATCAGTTCATTCATTCACTCATTCTCTCCTACCGAACAACATTATACAGAAACATCAAAACGATGCCTCGATCCTGCGTTTAGCATACCTGAGCCAATTCCAGAGCTCCGCAGTGGTGCTCATCCCCGCCAACACAGCGAATATGAGAAAGCCTCCTACATGCCTGTAATCACCAAACGCAAACAATTAAGCATAAAGCAAGTGAAACAGTAGCACCAAAATGAAAATGTATGAGGAAAGAATGGTGGAATTGAATGGGTTAACTACGTCCAAATGTTTAGGGTTTCGTTATGCCACGCGAAGATGCTCCACAAAGCCTCCTTCACGGGCCATTCTGAGCGGTAATAGTCCAATATGAACTCGCTGTCCTTTAAGTACTCAGGCAGCTCCTCGTACTTCACCAATCGCCGTTCGAATCGCTTCGATTTTGCTGGCAAAATTTCACCGATTTTCTTGTTGCTGCGGCGAACGCTTTTCATCTTTGTGTGCACCCTCCCCGGCGAGTCTTAGCTCTGTGGCAGATCTATTCAAAGGCACCTACACTCCACAATTCAATTCTTCAATATCTTGCACATAAAATGGAGGTAAAAATAAAAAGTGATTCCTATGGTATTCAGGTGTTCTAGAATGGTTCCCCTCTTAAGTTCTACCTAGGTTGAACAATTTATACAGTAAAAACAATCCATTTATCTTTTAGAATACAAATTTGTATAAAACAAAATATATTGATTGGGCTAAACTTTCTAAACCAGTGATAAAGACGTTTTAGTTTATATTTTAAATTGCCTAATTTTTATATTTTATAAAATTAACATATTTAATTGTTTCATTTTTGTTAATAAAAATAATAATTGTGGTAGATTTTATTTTACTTATATCCAAATTTTAATGCATATGGTGGTGTTGAAATAAATTTAAGGATTAAATATAATTTTTAGTTGTATTATTTTGATTATTTTTATTTTATAATTTAAAATTTAATAAATTGGTTCTTATAAAGGTTAAAAATATCAATTTATTTTTTATAAAATAAAAAAATTGTTATGTATCAAATTTAAATATAAATAATAATTAATATTATTTAATTGTTTTAATTCAAATTTTTTATAAAATAAAATTGTAATTATATATTAAATTTAAGTATAAAAAAGTTTTAACTTAAAAGTTTGAAAATTAAATTGATGAATTTAAAATTACAGAATTAGTGACAAATTTGTGTAAAATATAAAGATGAAAACACTTTTTTCTAACTTTAATTATTTAATTTTTTTTCAAGTGGATCTGTATACAAACATCAAGGTAACATAAATTATGAAAAACTTAAAAAAAATAAAATCTTATCACAAAATTCAATATTCAAATGAAATCAATTAACTGGTTAAATTGTAACATCATCAACATTCTTATAAATACGACATGAGGACAAATTAATGATATAATTAAAACTATCTCTTTTTTAAATGGTAAAAAAAAAGAAGAAGAAGTTAAAATACAAATATTTAAATGGTACATTTTTAATTTAATAAACTAAAATTGAGTTATTCAAATTATTAAATCATAATTTTATTTTTTGTATTAAAGATAGGCTATACATAAATGATAAATTCTTATTATATCTAATATTTAAGATATTGAATAATTTTAATTTAAAATTGATGAATTAAAACATATTTAAGCAAATGTAGTAGGTAAATATATGAGCCTTCACTTTATATAAATAAATTTTGTAATAACTAAATATTTTGAATATATAAATTACATATACTCAATACAAGGTGTTAGTTATTGATACTTCTAAGTGAGATTAAAAAAAATATATAAAATCAAAACCCTAAAAACATTTTTACTGAAAAAAAAAATCTCAATTCTTTATCAATCAAATCCTCTCACTCAAAGTAATTAGTACAACGTTTATAGAGAAAAACTTGTACATTTCCCATGTACTATTGCATTACCATAATTTTTGTTGTGAAATATTTGAACTCTCAAAGTTTGTGGAAGTAAACATATGAATTTTGAGTTAAAATAAATCTTACTAACTTTTGTATTAAATTATAAATTTATATGAAATTTGATAACTAAGTTATTTATTATAGACTAAAATGATTCAATAAATTATAATGCTTTGAAATTAATTATAGTCAAAATATATTTTAAAAACCTAAACACGCAAAATATCTAACCAAGTGTATTTTTTTAATTAATGTTTTAGATTAAATAATTGATTTTATATAACATAAAGTTTTCATTGGAGTTGATAATTAATACCTCTTTCAATATTTTCACAAGAATTAAATAATTAATTTCATCATAATTATTTAAATATGTGCCCACCGTTAGATCAAATAATGTGATTGAAGATTAAAGACTGAGTTTTCTTCTTTGGTCACGTCATATCATACTGATCCCGTGAATGATATCAAGGTTGGTCCAGAATTTCCCTTTACTAGAGTGTTATATATATATATATATATATATATATATATATATATATTTTTTTTTTTTTTTTTTCATGTCTAAATTTTCAGTATAATAAGCACAAAAGTTCTAGCTAGCATTTTCTTCTTAGTAATAACTTTATAAAAACTTTGTTTTATTAATTTTCAATTGAAAAAACAGCTGCAAGGAAAACAATGTTGTATTGAGCTTCTTCTTATTGGGTGGGCTTCAAGCCCTCACAAACTTTCCTTTTGGGCTTTACTAATTGCTGTGAGGGCTTTCTGTTTTTTTTTTTTTTTTATCGTGAATTAGTAAATTACTATGCATGGTGGGTATGGTTAGTTTGTATTATTATATTATTAAAAAAAAATTAATGTATTATTTCGCAAGCGTTCTGAATTTAACCATGAATGTTTACATAAAATGTGATTTTTTAACAAAGATAGAGGTTAAAAAAATCATTAATTAAACAAATATGAATTTGTCTCTTTTTTTTATTTTTTTCTTTTTACTTCAAGAATAATTACAATTTATTAAATATGACATTATATTATTCCACAAATGAATAACGAACACACCCATATACTTCTCTTACCTAGTTAACTTATTATAAGATAGAGAAATAACAAAAAGTATTGACAAAAATATTTGAATATACAACAAATAATTAGTGAAGTCGATAATAATTTTTAATTATTTTATGCAACAATTTATAATGAATTTTATCGTATAATTCATATAAATTTTATTTAGTGGGTATAATTTTTTCGTCAATTAAAGTAAACTATACTCTAATTTCTGTATTTTTATTTTGTATCGGTATATATTTTTAGGATCTATATATAGAGAGAAATTCTTAATTACTTTTATAATATTACTCATCAGTTTTAGGTTCTACAATGAGGTGAAGAAGTATGAGAATATAAAGTATGTGTGTGAAGAAGCTTAGCACAATCGTGTAATAGATAGAATAATATTTATTTCATTTCAAATTATTCAGGCATATGTTTCGCCACATTTTAGTTCTCAGTAATGATTTATTCTGAAAAAAAGATTTCATAGTTTGAAAAGTTGTTTGAGAAAATAATGTGTTTAGTTTTGTTTTAAGCACATAAAAGTTAAACTCCTCTACTATTTTATTTCATCAACAACATTCACTGATGAATGAAGATGAGAAACTTTGAAGTCCAAAATATGAAATAAAGTGACATAAGAAAAACAAAGACACCTAAAATTTGGAATGCAAGAAAGCAAAGAAGAAAGTTTGGTGTTAGGTGTAATTTAGGTGACCCTAAGTGAGTGGGAGTGAGAGTGAGTGTTTGAAAATGAGGAATGGTTTGTTTACCAAATTTCTACTGAACTCCCATGCATGACTAATTAATGCACATCTTTTTTGGGAGGTAAAACGCATATGTGGTTTACTCATTAACAATTCAGTGTGCAATATGCATGGTATTACTCCATGTACCTCTCTCCATCCACCATATATAAGAAGCAAAATAGTAACTTACTTCCACCATGATCAAATTCTTAGGTCCCCACCACATTGAAGTGTGTAGAAAGCACACATTTTCAGAAATGGTGGAAAAGGGGCACCCTTAAACCCCAAAACTGCATCACCCTTTTAATCCATCACATGGGGTAGTTACACCTACATCTAAACATGGGGCAACTGCTCAGTGTTAAATTCCATGTCTAAGGAGACAACATTAGGTAACTTATGGTACTGTTTTATATTTCAAATTTCTCGCTCAAAAAATAATGGAATCAATGGTTCAACCACATGTGCATGTTGATAATTAGGTGTAACAACGCATGTACACTTCAAAATTACCATGCCTAGTTCAGCTATATATTCAACCAGCTAATGACTTTAAATATATAATAATATTTATACACTAAAGTCAAATTTAAATGATTTTTACTAACTTGAGCCAATTTTAAAAATTTCCATAGGGAAATATGCATATGAGTAATCGACATTGATGAAATTAATTATTGTGGGGATAAATTGATATAAACTCCCCAAATATAACTGAGATGTAAATAAGTTGAATAGTTTAACACCGAGGTTTGCAATATTAGTCCCATATTGTTAAGCTTTTAGCATCATGATTAGTTTAAATAATCAATTTAAGTTTGCAAACCAAAGATCTGTCATTAGTCATTAGTTTTAGATTAAAATTCTATCGTTCATGTAAATTAATAGTTTGCATTATTACACTTTTAAAGTAAACAAATTAATCACAGTCACCTAAATCTCATACAAATATATAAATCTCCATCATTAAGCTACTGTATTGGTAGGATTTAAAAGATTAATTTTTTGAAATACCACATTTTTTTTTCAATAGATATTTTAAGTTAGAAATTAAAGTTGATGATCCATTAATTACACCACATAATGTTAACGAGCTATTTTAAACCAGATTCTTATACCAAATTAAAAGATGACAGAGAAGGCACCTGATGATATATACCGGGGAATATATTAATTTATTAATGAAAACCGAAAATAACTGTTAATAAGGTAGAAAACAAAGCATAAAGTTTGTAAAATTAAGAAAAAAAGTGATATGAAAAGTATTGAAAGGTACATCACATGCAGAAAATGGGAGTGAAGACAAGAGGGGAAGAATTTAACATAGAGCCGATTTTACAGACGGCCAGAAACATCCATGTTTGAGCCGGCTATCCCCATGTTTGCCAGCACAATCCATTCTAACCCCATCCTTTCCCATTCCTTTATAAACAAACCCTTTTCACTTCAATCACTACTTATATTTCACATTCATATTTTTATATATACATATAAACTTATTTTCTATCTATGCAATGCGCCATTAATTCCATCAACATCCATCCATATCTTATTCTTCTCTTTCTCTTGCATGGTGCAACCTTTTCCATGGCCAAAAAATCACACTCACAGCTGCGAACCCAGAAGAACAATGCAAGCAACATTCGAAATAATCTTACTGTAACCAGCACTGTCCCCACCAAGGTCAAACGAACCAGGAGAAGTGTCCCCAGAGACTCCCCTCCTCAACGCAGCTCCATATACCGAGGAGTCACTAGGTTAATATATATATATATATCTTCACTCTCAACTTCTTCAATTCATCGTTTTAATTTTATTATACTTATAATTAGCTGATTTAATTTAATGGGTGTTCACCATCAGGCACCGATGGACTGGTCGATACGAAGCTCATTTGTGGGACAAGCATTGCTGGAATGAAACACAGAACAAAAAAGGACGACAAGGTTTCATGCTCTTTAGAAGTTATTTATTCAGTTTGAATGTTTGATGAAGTTAGCTAATATGTTTTTTAATTTACTTTCATGTGGTGTTCTCAATCTTGTGGGGTTCTCACATGTATATAATTGCCTCAGTCTACCTTGGTACGTATGTTAGATTATGTATTGATTAAAAGAGAATCATCATGTTCAACTGCATGGTTATAAGTTGCATATTATTCAGGTGCTTATGACAATGAAGAGGCAGCAGCACATGCTTATGATCTAGCAGCACTTAAATACTGGGGTCAAGATACCATTCTTAATTTTCCGGTACTTAATTATATTCCAATTATACTGAACTTTTTGTTAATGTGGTTTTTTCATATTATATATATGCATCGTGCATGTGAATTAATTTAGAGCAAAACACACCAAAATTGTGTTTCAATTGCAGTTATCAAACTACCTGAACGAACTGAAAGAAATGGTGGGTCAATCACGGGAGGAGTATATTGGATCACTGAGGAGGTAAATCTCTGTCAAGAGTCCTTAATGGTAATCAACAAGATTTTCACAAAAACTATGCTTTATAACAGAAGATTTTGTTCAATATTAAATTGCAGGAAAAGCAGTGGTTTTTCTCGAGGGATTTCTAAATACAGAGGGGTTGCAAGGTATGTATCTATTGTATTCACATATGATAACACATTCACTCTTCGAAATCGACCATACACAAGTCTTATCGTAAGAATCATCTAATTATAATTAATCAAATTTTCGTGACTTACTTTTCTATGATCAGACATCATCACAATGGAAGGTGGGAGGCTCGGATTGGCAAAGTTTTTGGCAATAAATATCTTTATCTCGGAACCTACGGTACGTTCTCATCACCCAAAGTACTTTTAGCCAGCAATGAAATAGTAAGAAAATACTACTTTTAACATTAGTATTTAATGCACGTAAATGCTTTGGATCTTACGTAATTAACGTGCTGTTTGTTCTTTAGTATTTGTTATTATATGCAATGGCAACACTTAATTAGTGCAGAATCTTGGATAACTTTGGATGATATTTAATTAAAAATAAAGTTTAATCTTAGTAATAATCATTATAGATATTCAATGTCTGAATTCTCAAAGATAAAGGCTTTATTTTCATTTTTCCATTAAATAACACAAGTGGCCCAACTCTAATATAAGTGATCAATCCTTTTGTACACTACTTGCATGAAACTCTTCCCATTTGAAACTTAAATGAAAGAACTTTCACAATCACTATTGTAAACCAGAACCATCCAGAAGTGAAGTACTACTTAATAAATCGCTTCCATTCATCACATTCAATTCGGTTATTATTTAACTATCTTATCCCCAAGCATGGGTCATGTATGGCAAATTTATCAGCAGTATTCAATGGGGGCAGGAAGAAAGCCACCAACTCTTAACTGATTTGTTAACTTAACCTTTTCCTGCTACGCACTATACAATAACATGTCATTATCATTAATAAACGAAGTTCAAACTGATCATATATATGTTATCAATTATTGTATATAAAAAAATCTTAAATCTATCATCTCTAATATATGTATAATTTTCACAGCTACCCAAGAAGAAGCTGCTACGGCCTATGACCTTGCAGCTATAGAATACCGTGGACTCAATGCTGTAACCAATTTCGATCTCAGCCGTTACATTAAGTGGCTTAAGCCTAATAACAACACCAACAATAGTGACCAGATTAATATGAATCTCACTCACATGAATAACAATTGCACTAGCAGCAACTTCACCCCAAACCCTGATCAAGAACAAGAGCAGGAACTAATAAGCTTCTTCCACAACCAGGATTCAGTGAATACTATTGTAGAAGAAGCCACGTTGGTGCCACATCAGCCTCGTCCAGCAGGTGCCACGTCAGCATTGGAGCTTCTACTTCAGTCATCAAAGTTTAAGGAAATGATGGAGATGACATCATCTGTGGCCAATATCTCCACACAGATGGAGTCTGAGTTGCCACAGTGCACGTTTCCTGATCACATTCAAACGTACTTTGAGTATGAAGATTCTAACAGATATGAGGAAGTGGATGATCTCATGTTCAAGTTCAACGAGTTCAGCTCCATTGTGCCGTTTTACCAATGTGACGAGTTCGAGAGTTGAAGTGAGGTTTACATAATCAATGCATGCACAAAAGAAATCTGATATGTTTGTTTATTTATTTAATTGGTTGATATTATATATATATATATATATATATATATATATATATATATATATATATATATATGTGTTAAAGATCACTCAGAATCTTTAAGGTTTGGGAAGAGAGGTCATCATTCACAAAAATATTATAATAAGTGGACTTATTATTTTCAATTTGTGAATATGAGAAAATTTATCTGTTGTTGATTTTCTATAAGCGGTGCAGGAGCGATAAGTAATATAAAATAAATATGTGACCAATTCTTTTTTGTCAGTGTATTTCTGTGCTTCTCAATATATTTAAGGCTAAAATATTTTGCAAGCAATAGTTTAATTTTAAGTAATTATTACATAAAATCTTATGTGATTGAAATTAATAACTTGAATTTTTAGATTTATCAAATTATATATAGGTTTTTTTAAATTAAAATTTATCAAGTTTTATATAAAAATGTCATCAAACATGTTTTATAAATAAAAAATATTTATGTATAAAAGAAAAACATTCATGTCCTTAATTAAAATTTCATCTCTATGTGCAACCTTTTCCAACGAGAGAGTACATTTTATACTATCACAATCATATAAAGCATGGTGATTAATTTTATAGATATCGAAAATATTATATAGAAGGTTGTAATCTATCTCATAATTTATATAAATTATTAATCACTTCGTTAAATGTTAATTAGTTTGAACATGAATACTGACGTAATATTGAAATTGTCTTTGTTTTATTTATTATAACAGGTATATTTTTAGTTAAGAACATGTTAAGTGTTATAATTATTCTTAATTGATGAGATATAAGTAAAAAATATTATATCAAATATTTGATTAATTAATGTAAATTAATTATAATTTGAATTCTAAAATAACTTTTACCAAGATTAAGAAAAAAAAAAAAAAGTGTCAACCATTTGAGGCCAACAATGAAGGGTGACCAAAAAACTATAGGCAAAGAAGAATTATTGTTATCACATATCCCTAAAACCAGCATCCATATGCATCTTATCTGGCATGGAGGAGTCTGATGTCCCACCACCATGTCCATACTGGAGTGTGTAAGAGCTCTGGTTGTTCTGACTAGACCAGCTGGCATCTGATGATTGTATTCAATTATATCATCTTTGTTCAGAACAATACATATTGATGGGTCAAAATTTGATATTAAAATCTGTAACCAAACCAACAACATCATCTTAAAGTCTTAACCATTCAATTCACTATTACAATATTTCTTTCGATTATCTTTTATTGTACGTAGACAACTTCTTTTTAACTATAATTAAACTCAAATCTCAAATTTACAAACCATTAACCTCAGCTCGTGATTCAATATATGAAACAATAAAATAAACCAAGGGATTTACAAAACTCAGTTTAAGTTAATACTATTTATCCTACTCATACATACATTTATACTTACATTCAATTCATTTAACTCATGAATAGACTTCATCTAATTTGAGAGTCAATAATATTATAATTTCGAATATTAATATATATACGGTGTACTTAGAGAAAACTGTAATTTATTTAATACCTACCAGTTGTTACAACAACAAAATTTCAACTTTATCTAGTAAAACCTCCTACCACTCATTGGCCAACCTAATGTTTTATTTTTATTTTTTCTTTTAAATGTTTCATATTACTTAGTAACTCCATACGTGGCATGGTACTGGTATACAATCCAAGTAACAGGCATTCATCTTAAAAACATTTTCCCCCAATTTTATGAAGTTGTAATTTAATCTTTATAAAAATTTAATTATATATATATATATATTTAAATATTTACAAAAGATAAAAAAATTGCATATTCGTAAAATTAGTAGGATGAAAGTGTAAGATTATTATTTTTAGAAATAAAAGTCTTGATATAAATGCATATATATGCTAGACATAACAAGTGCATGAACTCTATTTTCGGTTGAGAAAGCTTCAACACATCTTTCCCCAACGCTCCTTGTCTGGTTGAGCAGATTCAAAGCTGGTTTTGGCATCTTTTGCTAATCCTTTCTGTAACATAACAATAAGTAGAATTCACTCATACCTTCAGAGACCAATATCTTTAATACAAAACAATTATGAAATACATTACTATATTATACTATTAAAATTTACCTCTATGGCATTCATATTGAGAAGACGGTCGATGAGATTAAACACTATATCTTTTGGTTAACTCAGGATGACCTTGAATTCCAAGAATGTGACCTGCAATAGCAAACACTTCCACCCTAGTTTTGTCTGAAGATGCAATCACTTTTGCACCCACAGGAACCTCATAAACCTCGTCTTCGTGTACCTCGATGATAGAAAGAGACGATGGTATTTTGTGATAATCTAGGTAGCTACAAGATCGAGCTAAATCTTTCATGAAATGCACTTGTCTCAACCCAATACCCCACCCTGTGTTTGATTTACCTACCCTTCCACCCAAAAAAAATTAACTTGTATGTAATGAAGGTGCCAGCTGGACAAGCTTACATGAAAAATAATGATGCAGCAAATATACAAAGAGAGGGGCACAATATGGGAAATGATTGGGTAGTTGCTAACAACCTGGAAATTCAGGAAGTGAGACGTGGGACGAGGACACGTAACCGCAGTAGCATGTTGAGAGAATTTGTGTGAGGAATCTTTTATATAAGGAGAGGGAGAAGGAGGTAGTGGGGGGTGAATGAACATGTATCTCTCTTTCTGAGAATTCTCTTACTTTTCTCTGACTCTGTGATTTTGCTGTACCCTTTTCAACCATCTTGGTTGATAGGAAATTCCTTACAGATTTTAATAAAACAGTACCATCATTTTCTTGCTTATCTCTTCTTTATATGTATTCTCAAAACCCACCACATTGGTGCTTTCATTGAGCCATGGCGGAAAACACCAGATTGAAGGATCTCCAGGCGGACGTTAAACGAAATTCTGAAACATTGGAGAGATATTACTTGGACCTACAAACCCAGATCGCAAAGCTGGAATCGGTGAATTCTGTTCGTTTTGAACGCCTGGAGTCGGTGATTCAAGAAAATGATTCCAAATTCAATCAGATTTCTGGTGCTTTGGAGACTCTGCTGCAACGTCATTCTTCCTCCCATGGTACATCGAACTCGTATAAGCCACCCTTCCAAGTACGAAACGTGAAGCTGGATTTTCCTCGTTGTGATGGTAACAATGTTCTGGATTGGATCTTTAAAGCAGAACAATTTTTTGACTATTATGCTACCGCTGAGGCTGATCGCTTGTCCATTGCCTCGGTGCATTTAGATAATGATGTTGTGTCTTGGTTCCAAATGATGCAACGATCATCTCCGTTCTGCTCTTGGCATGCTTTTACTGACGCCCTAACACTAGATTTTGGGCCATCCGCATATGAGTGTCCTCGGACTTCTTTATTCAAACTTACCCAAACTAGTACTGTTGGTGAGTATTACAAAGCATTTATTGGTTTAGCTAACCGTGTGTCGGGCATCAATAATGAGGCCTTATTGGACTGTTTTTTGAGTGGCCTTCAAGATGAGATTCGTAGGGATGTTATGACATTATCTCCGCATAGCCTTCCCAAGGCTGTCGCATTAGCCAAATTATTTGAGGAGAAATATAATCCACCAATTGCAGCCAAGAACCCTGTATTTCCGCACAGATCATCCAATTTTTTTCCTAACCGCACCCCCTATAATACCAAAATTGATACCTTTAGTACCCTACCAAAATCCAACTTACCACCTTTACTTCCCAATCCTAACATTAAACCTCTATCTCAAAACACCAAACACAACCAAATTAAAAAAATTTCCCCTGCGGAGATGCAGCTTCGAAGAGAAAAAGGCCTGTGCTATTTTTGTGACGAGAAATTTTCCTTCAATCACAAATGTCCAAATCGTCAAATGTTGATGCTGCAATTAATTGATGATGACTTTGAGGATTCTCATGAACCAGATCCCCCTGATTTATCACAAACGGCTAATGAAGTGTGCCCAACCGAGCATCATCTTTCACTTAATGCCATGAAGGGAGTGGGTGGTGTGGGCACCATTGGCTTCACTGGTCATATTGGGCCTATTACAGTTAAGGTTTTGGTTGATGGCGGCAGTTCAGACAACTTTATCCAACCTCGGATTGCGCAATTTTTGAAGCTACCAATCGAACCTGTTACCGGCTTTCCAGTTTTTGTAGGCAATGGTCAATCCATGACTACAGAGGGAAGGATACAACAGTTGGCACTGACAATTCAGGGTCATCAGTTGGTGGTTCCAGTGTATTTACTTCCAGTTTCCGGTGCCGACCTTGTGCTAGGGTCGTCTTGGCTCGCCACTCTTGGTCCTCACATTGCAGACTATGCCACGTCCACTCTTAAATTTTTTCAACAGGGTAAGTTCGTTGTTTTGCAAGGAGAACATCTGACCCAACCTCAACCAGCACAGTTACATCATCTGCGCCGGATGCAACAGACACAAGCTATTGCTGAATGTTTTTCAATTCAGCTGGTGCAGCCTGAGCCTGGTGTGGAATGGCCATTACAGATCCCTACTGACTTGGCCCCTGATCTGGTTATTGCACAAGTATCAGAACATTTTTCAGCTTCCATCAGGCCTGCCACCCCCAAGAGCTCATGACCATGTTATTCCTTTACAGATAGGCACTAAACCAGTCAAAGTTCGTCCGTACCGGTATCCTCATAGCCAGAAGGAGCAAATTGAAAAATTGGTCCATGAAATGCTGGAGCAAGGCCTTATCCAGCCTAGCACAAGTCCTTTCTCAGCCCCTATTTTGTTAGTTAAGAAAAAAGATGGCTCATGGCGCTTTTGCACTGATTATCGGGCCCTGAATGCAGTAACTATCAAGGATAGTTTTCCCATGCCAACTGTGGATGAACTATTGGATGAGTTATATGGTGCCAAATATTTTTCTAAGTTGGACTTACGCTCCGGGTATCATCAGATTTTGGTCCAACCCGCTGATCGTCATAAAACGGCATTTCGAACGCATCATGGCCATTACGAATGGTTAGTCATGCCATTCGGTCTCACTAATGCACCAGCCACTTTTCAAAGCTTGATGAATCACATTTCACTACTAGAAAAATGCCAAATAGTAACCGAAATCAGTGACCGAAAAATTTAGTTACTATCATTGAATTAGTAACCAAATTATAATTTTTTAGTTTAGTAACTCGAAATAGTAACCGAATTTTCGGTCACATAAAATCGAGTTACTATTTCGGTCACTTTATTATTTAATTTATTTACATTTAATTTATGTAATTATTTTTGTTTTTCAATTAACCTAGATCCTTCATCTCTCGCATCTCCAGGCGAATTCGAACCTCAACCCCAGCCTCAACCTCGACGAACTCGAGACCCAAACCCAACTCCGACGACGTCGAACCCCAATCCGAGGCGAAACCCGGTTGACCTCGAACCCTAGCCCAAACCTCAACGCCCTTGAATCCAAGCGACCCGCAACCGTGGCGACATCAAACCCTAACCTAAGCCTCGGTGAACCTACCTCGACGACCTCGGTTCCAACCAAAACCCATGAAACCTCGTGTTAGAACCCTAACCTTGACGAACTTGAATCCTAACTCGATTACCTCAAATCCCATCCCAAAACTTGACGACCTTTAACCCAAGCATAGGACATCACGAACACGGCCTCTATAAACACGGTAATGCTTCTTCAATCCATTTGAATTTCCTTATTCAATCTAGTTTTACATGATATGTTTTTTATATGTGTTAATGGATGCATGGGTGGTGCTACAAAAGCAAATTTCTTATCTTGATTTATTGGATTGCAAATTGAAAACTTCAGTAATAGCTCCTTTAGGTTGGTATTACTGAATCTTTAAATATAATTAAGGCCACAATGTTAAATTTACTTGGATTACAAATTGGAAACTTGAGTAATAACTCCTTTAGTACATGTTTCCCTATTTGCTCTGTTCGTTTGCTTGATGAGTTTTTGTTATCTTCTTTGATTTATGATTGGAATTATGATGAAAATGTGAAAATAGATATATTGGTTGGGCTAAGAGTTTGTAAGTAATCTGGTTTAGTGAAGTGTGTAAGAGGGTTTTCTCTAATACGGTTAAGACCATCATGGCAATACATACTAAATTACTAATGAATAGGACAATTAAAAAACACTTAAAGGTTACGTTGCTTTCATGGTTTTGTAATACTGAAATAAGTGCCTAACTTATAAAAATCATAGAAAATAATTCACTGATCCAAATTTGACAAATTATATATCAAATTAAAGCTATTTGAATCAGCTTTCCAACACACTAAGCCTCACCCTCAAATTCGATCTGTAGCTTGAGATATTGTCTTTGCAATTAACACATGTCATTACTGAAAAGTTACTCCTGGCAGTAGGCTATGACTAGATTCAAATTCAAACTGGGCCCAAACCTGACATACAAAAATTACAAAATATATATGAATATGAATATATGAATGTTAGCTTTCTAACCCAAAAAGAATTATTCAAAAACTCAAACCACAGCTCCAGATATCACTGATTTAGTGCATAGAGGTTAAAAAGCTCTAAAAAAATCCGAATTAACTAAAATGCACAACTAAACCTAATTATGTCTAAGTATTAAAATTTAATAAAAAACAATGCTATTGATCAACAAATCAGCCCAAGATAAGTGGGATTAACATCACTAAACATGCATTTAAATGCTCTTATGAAGGACCTGTTCTATTTCTGATTTTTTTGAAAGACTCTTGTTTTTTTGCAATTTGGTCTTATTTCATTATGTACATGTACACATTAATTAGATGTCATTTCTTTTCCTATTTAGCATGTGTTGAATATGTAAATGTAGCAGTGGATGGTTTTGTTTCAATTGACTTAAATGGACATTGGAGTTACTCTTTATTAGAAAACTTGGTATTGATCAACACATGTTGATGTAAGTTCCTTGTTTTTCTTCTTATGTTAATTTCTTAAACAATTGTATCCTTTTTTATGTTTTTATCCAATTCACTACTATTCTATTTTAATGTTTATAGGCAGAGTTTAGTCGTGCCTGGGAAGAAGCTTCTCAATCAGGATCTATTGCGGGAGGTACTCCGCCGATGAATTAGAGGTTTGGTGTAAAGTTGCTTGGAATAAACAAAGGCAAAGTATACGGGCTTGGATCCGAGTCAAGCAAAGCAATTGGGAGAAATCTTTGTCACGACTCTAGTTCATCATCTGTCCAGCTTATGAGGGAGGAGATTGAACAATTAAAAAACAAGTTACTGGAAGTTCAGACTGAAAGGGATGATCTCCGTGAAAGAATGTTAACTAATGAGAGAAAAATTCAGAAAAATGATAAAATGTTGCTCCTCTTGATGGAGAAGATGGATGTTCAACCTCCTG